CCACTGTTCCATTAGTAATATCCTTAATGAACACTGTTTCCAACGACTGTGTGAAACGGTCTACACATGTTGAAAGATAAGATTATCCATTTGACTCTCATAAAGGTCCTAACAAATCCAGATGATCATGGTTGAAGCGAGCGTCGGAAGTTTTGGAGGAGCCTAAAGGGACACTCATTGTGTTTGATCTAGCTTATACAGGAGCGCGTTCACTTCCTCACGTCTCTTCCATTCCAGGCCAACAACTTGAAGGTTGCTCATACACCTCGAACGTATTGAAGATGTTTTGATAATATTTAGGCACGATTTGACGATATGTGTGACCCGGCAAAGTCTTATTACTGTTTCCATCTGAATGATCCCTAGTTTCAGTGTTGTGGAATGTAACTCGTGCAGCAGATTGATGTATTGTGATTACAATAATGTTCATTTCCTGAAACTGTTTAAAGAAAGTTTGCTGGGAAAGGCGTTTGCAACTGAATTGTTTATATATATATATATGCTCTTGACAAGTATATGTGTGACCAGATTGTTCGAAATGTATTGCGCTAATATATCACATAGTTCTGATAATCTTTGTCTTCTAATATCATTATCGAAATGAATTGTTTGCCCAAGAACTGTGTCGCGTATCTGAAGTAAGCTGTGAAACGTAGTCCACTTGTCGAGACTCTCGAGGGGAGTACTTGGCTAAAGATGGACTTAGAGTAAATTCGAGAGGATTATGGTCGATTAACAGAGTTAATTCTCAGCCTTCAACAGCACAATACACGTTTAGGAGTTCTCTAGCGAATGCGCTATACCTCGGTCCGGTGCCTAGCGACCGTCTCAAGAAGAACGCTAAGAGTCACCAACCGTTGTTGGCCGATTTTAGTAAAACTTCTCCGATTGCCGGGTCCGATGCATCTACAGAGATACTAATGAGCACAGTTGCATTCGAGGTAAGTTTCTTAACTGTAGAGTGATCCCAGTAATGCCACCGTCCTAATTGAGGAGTTTCTCATTCCCACGAAGTTGGTCGTTCAGGTGTCTCATCAGAAACGCGTATTTTGATACGAACTATCGATAGAAACTTACCAGGCAGTTGGTCGTACGTAACTACTTGACGGCAGTCGGTTCTAGATAATCCAAAGCGGCCACGGTTTCGCTTTTTAGAGGGCGAATGCCTTGATCACTAATAATGTGCCACCAGCAGCCATGGGAACGAGATTATACACCTTAACCAAACCGATTTTCGAAAAAAATACAGATGTATTTTTAAGGTAATTGTCAAATCGTGAGTGTGCGGAGTGGATTTCGCATTCAATCTTAGGTAGTCACCAAGTGAATGCCAACTATTGCTGTCTTTTTCCAAGGCCATGTGCAGGGCAGATGTCCATGTGTTGTTCGATGACCAAATAGTTCTCAAGTCTACCATGTGATCGAACTCGTTTTAGGCCAACCTCAGCTCTTCGGGAGCTAGTCGGTGAGCCTTCGATTGTAATGGTGTTCTTGTAGTCGCGGTGAGGTGCGCAACATTGCTGGTTAAGCACAGTAATTTTGGTCGCGTTTGGTACTATTCGCGATGCTTAACAAGTATCTGTAGATAGAATTGGTTGGTTGTTACAGTGACTGGTAATAATCTTCAAACAGAAAAGAAAGTTATTGAAACAGATGATTTGATATTTCCATCAACGAGACTCCGTTTGTTTATATCAATATGTTTCAGCGGGTCTACATCAATGATTAGCATAGAATTATCTATTGCAACAAAGATTCAGTGGATTAGTTCGCGCAAATTCACCTTGAGATCAACGTATCGCTTAACATACGAGGCAGCCGGTTTCTTATTTACGCCTGTAAGTTGAAAACCGGGTCATATAGACGGTTGCCAGGGTTTTTAGTAAGAAGGCTTATTTCTGAGACAGTGTCGAATAGGTATAGAAATATGTCATCTCATCAGTGATGCATAACAGACGACTGAGTTTGCGGATGCGTTTACCATTAACGCGTGGCCGTGAGAGAGTTCCGCAAACGTCTCTGACTGTCGAGTCGTTTGGAGCTCGAGAAATTACATGGTTTTACTCATTTTTTGGAGGTACCAGCATCATTAGGGATTATATGTCCTTCGTGGTTTTAGAAACAGATCTCCGTTGTGATGAGCATCTCCAAGAAGTTTGATAGCTACGACGATTACGATGAATATCGAGATGAGTTAATGTGTGCAAACGGTCTGTGTCATCGTATCGTGTCGTTCGAAGTTTTTCGTTCACTAAATAAACCTCGGTGTTCGAGGTTCTGGTGATCTCCAATATTCGAGCGACAGATGCAGCCAACTCACCTGCACCGTTGTTTTGGAATGAAGAAGTATTGACAGCACCCATTCGGGAAGCTTAGACAAGAAATGTTTTCTAGACAGTGCTTCATCAAAGGTCCGTTGACCAATATCCTCCCTCATTCGTAGCAAAATGTCTGTTGCTGAGCCATGTTGTAGATCAAAGTAGTTGAAGAGTCGGTTTAACCGTTGTTGACTGGTTAAATTTACACGCCTAAGCATAGCCCTTCCTAAAGTTTCGTAATGTTTCGAGACATCACATCCCATATACTAGGTGGGACGTACCAGTTGGAATTTCATGGTAGTGCTTTCACTGCTGAGAGAAAACTTGCACGTTGTTCTGTCACTCCTTGTTCATGGAAGTCAGCTTCTGAGTAGCCTTCGATATTGTCGGGTCAAAATGGCATCGGCCGAAACGAGATAGGCGAAAGTCTTAATCTTAAATAACTTAGGAGTCTGATCCGCCATGATGGATACAAGGCTCTTGTCAACGCACTCAGTCGATATTCTGGTTCCAAATCTGTCTGGCATATGTTTGGTCTCGCAATTGGTTATTATGATCGCTTCTGAATCCTTGGCTCAACGTGATTCCGTCATACGTCGGCAGCGTTTCCTGATCCGCACCCCTACGAACGCGATCCCCAGATCTTAGAAACAAACCAATCTGGTGTGGTTCGCTAACTCCTGGTACCTTTCTACGTAAAAGACCTTTGGTGAGAACTCGAGGATCAGTGATCGCCTCATGCTCTGCCAACAGCACCCTACAATCGCACGTTTGCCGATCAGTCCGACGAACGAAACCGCAACGTATCGAAAGTGCAGACGCTTTCTAGCGGGGGGCACCTACAGTGACCCACTTTCATCAAGAGAACGCGATCAATGTAATGGAAACAATTATTATTATAACCAATTGTACCAGTGATTGTTTTATTGTACTTTTTTGTTTAACCGTACCAAAGACGTCCTTCCTTCCGTTGATTGTGATCTTGCATGAACTTGCGTTTGCTCAGTAGTTCCACTTGTAATCCTTTGGCACGATCTCGATATTATTTCGATACCACGAGATCGCCAACAAATATATCTCGCTACAACCTTCAATCGTTTTCTGATTTCTGGTTTACTCGAAGGTTTAGCCTGTTCTGGTACTCAATCTTCTTGTTGTGGTGGTCATAGTCAAAAGCGGCTTGATGCCACACTACAGAATAACATTACTATTATTATAGAGTTCTACAATTGCATTGCGTATTCTCCTTGACCGCAAGCAATAGTAATTTAAAAGAAGATGCGATATCAATACAAGCTATCCGAACATTCACTTTCACGCTTGCTACTACTCCTACTCCTCCTCCTCCTCCTCCTCCTACTACTACTACTACTACTACCACTACCATTTCAACTATTGCTGGGACTGGAAAATTCAGTAGCTGGAGGATTTCTCTAACGTTTTGTATCCGACTTTCTAGTCCAAGCAGACAAATTTCTCTTTATACTATTTTTCAATCTAAAAAGATGCAGTTAAACTTCCGAAATTGAAAAAGACCGAACTTTTTGAATTTTGAGAGGTATGATAATCCAATGTCACCCAGTTGTTTCCAATTCTCCTTGGTTTCCATTTCAGGTGGTGCATGTACAGCAATAAATGATTGCCGTCTCACGCGTAGCGTTCAGAATCTCTCTTCGATACAGCTTTATTTTATACAGACCATTTTCTACTGCTGAAACGATACAGAAAACGCGTTTGAAGGTAAATGATCCAGGTTGAGAGCTTGGATAAAGCTAATACCCTCAGTTCCAATGACAGTTCAAGAAAAATATCTGACAAAAGCTTCTGATGCTTCATTTATTTTACTCAGATACGGAACTTCGTAAAGATCAAGTCCTTCTTGATCTGTTGAATACTAAGTTTAAATTGTTTATTCTTTCTACTTTCATTCATCTTCTCAAGGTTGTGGCTCAAGGAGCTCGCTTACTCGCGTATTTTGGTTTCGTAGGTTGTAACGTAGGTTTTCGTTTTACCTGAATGTACCTTGTGTTCTGAGAGAGTGTTGATTTCAGTATGTGATGATATCTTTAAGAGAAAAGAACAAGAGAAAAGGTTAGCTGACGACTAAGTAAGCACAATAAATGCACTAGTGTAAGCTTAAATTCAATGACGAAGCAATTGACGACATTCAGAAATAACATCGACGTGACATTAGTAAAAATGTAACAGTTAAAATAAGAGGTTGATGGTTTAATGTTCTGAACGTGTTACGACGTGGTTATGCTTGGGAGCGCATGATTATGATCATGAACGTGTTCAGAATTTACTGTTAGCAGTTAGTATTGCAACATCAATGAGGTCTAAAGATTTTCTGTGTATATTATTGGGGGTTGTTCTTACTTTACGTCCGTTTGGAGACCTAATAATGAGTTGACTATTCACTGATTAGTGACTTAAGTCTCTAAAACTTTGCAACTTGTAATTTACATATTATAGTTGAGAATATTTTTAGAGAAGTTTGGGCTTTGTTTTTTTGGGTTTAAGCGCTACTCAATAAGCAGAGTTGAATTTCGGGAAACTGAACTTTCCAGTAGGTGACTTCCATGAGGGGATGCAGAGCTTTTTTCTTTCAAGTGACTGATTTTTTATGGACAAATCAATCACGTATAAGATGACAGGTCTCGGATTTCGGCGCGAAATACACTAATTCATTCGGATAAAGGGAGTTCTGGCATTTTAGCTGGTGTCAGTTCGTGATTTCTAACCGTAATCACAAACTGAATCATAATTCTAATTCCTCACGCAGGTTTATAACCCTCATTTGGTCCTGATTATTAGGTGGACACCCTCTAGGTCAATCTGGTGTCGCTCAAAGGTCGTCTATAAATTACAGTCTCACCACTATTTCAAGCTCTAAAATCCCTACATAACCTTTTTCTCAGTTTTATGGCGTGTAATATCTAAACGGTTTTTATCCGGAAAATGTCCTTGAGGTACTTTTTTGAATTCTTTCGAATTTACTTGGAGTTAGAAGTGTACACTTCCCATCAATCAAATATGAAACAACTCAATTTCGGTAAAGTACGGTGTTCGACTTTGAGTTATGTTTTATGAATTTTGTTAATTTTCACTACGGTAGGTTTCTGTTAATAAGCGTCGTAAATAACATGGTTTCACTAGTTTCACGGTCGTTTACTTTTTCTAGCTCCACATTGTTGTATGAATTCATTTCAGTAGACTGTTAGTTTCAAAACATCTAGTTACAGTAGATGACCTCAAGAATTTCAAGTGCCATCGCATTTAAGGGTCTGATCTGGTTGCATGTTTCAAGAAAAAACAGTGAAAGGCGACCCAAATATTGGCGAATACAAAACTGTTTCGATAAAAACAGCTGGTACTAAGATGTTCCCTTTGAAAATAATACTGTTAGTGTTTAATGCATCACCATTGGGTCATATTTCATGCATGTGATTTGTATGTCAAAATTTGACCTATTGTAAATATAAATGTTTTAAATTTTGTGGGTGTGCTTTTCTTTAGCGTTGTCTTATCAGTCAGGATTATCATGAATTTTTCGGAAAACTAAAATAATGGCAGGCAGCAGGTGCAGAATAAAGCAAAGCAACACAATAATGTAGTACTTATTCAGGATGATAAAAGCAACTAATATTATTTCTTTGTAGTCGACTTAAGAGTAATCATTTGAGTTTTCTAACTGCTTGCCTTTTCTGCTCCATGGATGACAGCCACAAAGTCTATAAATGTTCATACTTCTCAAACGGACGGTTACTTCATGAGCTTAGCGCGTTCGGTCACGGGCGATTTACTTTCAAACCAAAAAACATCGCTCTATGAAGTAGGTAAGGACCAATTGTACTTATCACTAGTTTAGCCACTCTAGCTTGTGCAGTGTAGGAATGGAGGTAAAACTTTCGTATTCAATGTTGCTGAACATTGAACACACTCCTAAATTTGTCGATTACTTTTGGGCTTAAATAAATCCTCACCTAGAGCAGTTTGGTTGGGGGAATCAAGTGACATGGCCGAAAATCATTCTGAGCAGCTCAGTTGTATTCAGTTTCCTGTTCTTTAAATCTGTCTGATTTTCAAAGACTATTGAATTAATATGACATCGCCAATAAGTTAATCACTCATAATCAATGCAAAGCCTCACCAAAATCTATTGATTGAGTGAAGTTATTTTATTACCATTTTGTGCCAGATTTCGTGCTCAAGTAAAAAAGGAAACACCTAACAAGGATTACGTGACCTTAAAGTTTATTGTACTGTCATTTAATTAAAATGAACAGTATTTGTGGTCAAATTTGAAAAACCACTAGATATCAGCTTAGAAACGTCAAACGGTACAAACACAAAGTGACACTGCAGTATTGAATCTATGAAAAAAATAACTACATATCATTGCGTGTTCTTTCCTTCACGTTAATTGGCTCAGATAATCTATTGGTTAATGAAATTACTGCGATGTTGAGATTTCGTTTTATTTCTGGAATTAATTTCTCTAGAAAGGCAAGAGTACTTTGTCGTATTCCGTTTGAGGCTTGGTTAGTGCACTTCATAAGTAATACCTTCAACATAGTAACCACATAAAGAATTTACTGAACCACAAGCTCTACATGATCGAAATTCTCAGTAACTTCCAATATAATTTCACTGTGCTTCCAACCAATAGGTCGCAATTTCGAATCCTGGATTACCTACCGTAGTATTAGAGATCAGAATCGATCACAATGGCGGTGTGTACATTCTTTGTCTTCCTTTAAACTGAGGTTAAAATTACTTTATACCTTTCTTTCTACGAAGTAATTCTTTCTTCCTGTATCATATCTTTATATGGAATCTTTTTTTACTACCATCGAACTAAATGGTTCCACGAATTTGATGTTCATCTTGTTGTACTAATGTGTAACAACTTGGACCGGTACATATGTGCGCCTGATCCTACGTTGCAGCTGACTGACTGAGAGATCAGTTAGTATCACTAACCCTTACTGATTGTAGCTCCAAACAGGGTACAGAATCATTTACTTCGTAATTTAGTGACATTTATGTATTTCTATTTTCAGTAAAGTTGTAGTAAGATAAAAGTGGTTCGCTCTGTTTCATGATTACTAATCATCAATTTCTATTTCTTCATGGATCCTACTTCAGTTCACAATCGGACAGTCCCCACATGGATCATAAAATCAATGAAATAGCTGAAAATATTAAGCAACGTGGTCGTGAGGGTGCGTATCCTCTCTTCAAGGAAACGGGTCCGGAATATGTGATGCCGAAATTTCCAATTGAGAGGAAAGAGATGGAAGACCATATCTTGGAATTAAAACTGGCCCGGTAAGTCAACGTACATTTCCATTGTTATCCAGATATATGGGAAAAGCTTAAATAAGTGGTGGTTGGAAAAAATGCTGAAATATGTGACTGTTTAGTGGTAGCAAAGTTATCCCGAAATGCAACTGTTACTCCAAGCAAATCACATTATCTCTTTGCCGTTTATTTCCATTTTCTTTGTATGCAAGTTGTCAATTGCATTTCGAACCCTTCAAATTCACGACTTACATTGTGGTACTCTTCAATTTTCTAGAGAATTGTTTCTTAACTATTTTGAGGGGGATTTAGATTTTCAACCTTAATCTCAAGTTGTAAATCCTGTAATAGATCCAGGTGTTTTTCAAATGAATTCATTGCAAAGAAATAGTCGGTGGCAGATATCTGTTCAGCGCTTTATATATGATGTTTATTTGGTTTAAATGAATCAATAAATATTCCATTCCTCCTATCCACTTTGCTAAATTTCATTCGCTTCTCTTGCTTATTTTAGGAAACTAATTAAAATTTCACAATGCTTCAGAGTAATTTTTTGTATCTTGTGTACTCCATTAAAACAAAATTGCTTTCATAATTCTAGAGTGTAAACTGAAATATAATGGAGTTTTCTAGTGAGCTGATGGTTATTTCTTGTGTGTTTTTATTATCACTAGTTCTCATCTCTAGTCGATTTATTCATCCCCTCTGTAACAAGTTATGTCTAATTGTTGTCCTAACTATCTTTGTTTCAGAGCATTAAGTGTGGCAGACAATGATTCTAAACTTCTCGTTAATGAAGAAAACCATGATCTCACCATTTCGAATCCTTCAGCTACCTGTAAAGCTATTAGCTTAGATGACTGCAGTTCTGTTGAAAGCATAACAAACGATCATGGATCTGTGTTATTTAGCAAAAAGAATATATTTAACAAGGATTCTTCCAACTCTTTATCCGTACTCCCTGAAACATCATCTGATGAACCAAATCTTCACTCTAGCCAATCTGCTACTTCAGACGTGAATACGTCTTTGGAATCTGGTAACCGGATGCAACCTAGGCTTACTCAAAACAATATTCAGTTTCAAAATGAGCAGAACTGTGGAGGTTCTTTATTCCGAAGATTATACAGCATCCCTAGTACAAATAACGATGGATTCCCAATTTATTTAGCACCTGCGCCAAATCCAGGCGTATTCACAGATGTAGTTCCTGTTCTCCAGGAAGTAGAAGAAGCGGCTGAAGCACACATAGAGTCAGCAGCTGTGGAATTTCAACGTGTTCAAATCTGCGGGGATGATACTCTTGGTGTAAGTTTGCCAAACCCTGATTTACACTTGGTTATTTAAAATTATACTGGTATCGCATCAGAAATAAACACGATACCATTATGCCAAATGTTTGAACTCACTTTTTATGCGATCTTTGAGGCAAAATCGTAAGAATTACGTTAAACGAACCAACAAATGCTGACTGGATTACGCTTATACTTGTTTACTGTCACTTTTAAATGGTATCAAGAGCTTGGTTTTCCGGATGTCTTTATTGGCAAGCTAATTTCTGAGTGTTTGTCTTATCACAAACTAGTATTCATATGAATATATATTTACCTATTTAGAGTGGACGTTAAATACCAAATTTTTTATAGTCTTCATGATGTACAACAAAGCCGTAATCTTTTCATGTGTAACTTCTTAGGTTTTCTGACCTGATCTGTCGTATTAAATGCCAAGATTTGAGGTTATATGATTGTTTCAGTACACATCTAGTCACATGTTCCTTCATTGTGTAGGCAGATACTATAAAATTCTCGTAGTCCACATTTCAAAATGACCTTAGGTAGTCTCTGGAAACTGGGAAGTATTAGACAGCTCTTGGTCCTAGTATGGAACTTCTCAGTGGAGGACATACGTAATCCCTCCGGATATCAAAATCAAGGCCTTCAAGTATGGTAGTGAGTGCCTAACTTTTAAATCACTGAGTTTGTATTCGGAGGTTTACATTTCAAACCTTAATCAATTCGCGATTTCCAACTACCATCTTCCACTGTGGTTGATGAGTGACTGCCTTACATCCTACATAGTTGAAATCCACTGACCATGGTTTGTCATTAGTACTCCTGAAATTACTTCAAAATTAGTCATCGAAGAGTGCTTGATTGTTATTAATATAAAGGATCAGTTCGTGATGTAAACGTTTTACATCAGTTCTAAGGATCGCTCATTTTTACCAAACAAGCAAAATGTTTCTTAAACTGCTCTAATAATTTTGGCCAAGTTGGAAATCAGGCGCTTAATTTTACTATTATTACCTGAGGTAGCATCATATTTCACTCTATTTCAACCACATTAAAGATATATATGCTCCAGATGCAAAAAAGAGTTATGGCAACTTGAATTGATGTACATACCTACCAGGTTTTACTCTGTAACTGACTGACCAGGTACAAACTCTTTCTGAAAATATTTAATGAAAATTTCAGTAATCCAGTCGGTTGGAATACAAGTATGAGTTATGGTTTGTTTTACAGATAAAGCGATAATACTGAATAATCAGCTGGCAATCAGGTTGCTATACCTTTTCATTATGATTCTTATTTTAATATATTTCCAGTGTACAGAATACCCATTTTTCAATAAATGGTACAGTTTATTACTGGAAATCTCGCGTTTAGTAGTGGATTATATATATATATATATCCCTAGTATTTGTAAATTGGGCATGATAGTGGAAAATGATGATTCTTTCTCAATTATCCCTCGTTAATCAAACATCCCCCACCATATAAACCTTATTTATTCAACAATTTTCTCTGATTTTCATACGGAAGTATGGTCGATTTTTCTTGATTATTTTGTTGCCCTTAGTTTACATCATGCTTTAAATAAGCTTCAAATTTTCACGAGAGGGAGCAAACCGCTCCGTAACTAACTTATATTAGTATCAAACGGCTCAACACACTACTACTTATGTATTATATGGACCACACATGGCTCTTTACGTCTTATTTAGTTATCATGTTATTTATCAATTTTTATTAAAATGAATTAGTACTTTATCATCAATTTTCTGAAGCTAGTACGAATTGTGGTTTTTTTTATTACCAATACTGTGATGTTGTTTTGATAGGTTTTAATCCTAATCCAATATTGATTATTTAAATTGTGATTCTGTTGTATAATTGAAGATTACTAATTGTAATAACCAAATTAATAAGAAATGATTTCTATTCAAAATATGATTGTAAATAATTATAAACTCGGCCATTATGTATAGGTGTATGCTTTACTCCATGAACTCTATCCATTGTTTTAAGAGTAATAATACGAACTGGTTACTGAGACTCGAGTATTAAGAATAAATTTCAGACCATTCATCGGGTCTGTTGTGAGATAGTAACTCACTGAAGACAATGGTGGATGGTGTCGCAATATCGTGGATTGGTTGAACTTAGACATTAATACCGTTAGATGCCGGCTCAGTGGTATAGAGGTTAAGAGATCGCGAGAGAGACCGATAAGTCCTGGGTTCGAATCCCGCGAGCGAGATCGTGTTTGCGCACTGTTGAGGAGACACATACTATAACGAAACGGCCGTCTAGTGCTTCCAGGTTCTCCATGATGGTCTAGCTTCAATCGACTCATGAACTCAATTATTAAGTTACTATAATATCCATAAAAACCCCTTCTGATAACATTCACACTGTTTTTCAAGTTTGACCACTGGAAATCATATGATTGAAAGTATTTTGTATTGGTTCATCTAGTGGGATTTTATTTATTCCCTAATAGGTTAGTTTTATAAATTTTCAGAATAATTTTTCTTTTTTTTTGAGAAGATTAAGCATTCCGAAATCCGACCAATCTTCATTAAGTTTTTTACACATCTATTCCAAATTAGCTTCCTTCGATTCATCCACATACTGCTGGAATTTTCGCCCTGTCACAGGTAGCATCAATCCATCTAGTAATTTTTATTTTAATATGTGTACACTATAATAATATTTTACACATGAATATCACTAATAATAGTATACTCAGTTAGTGTTTTGCACTTGTCCAATAGATTTCTCTGAGTGACTAAAATCAGTGTGTGATTGTAGCACTTTTTTCCACACCAGACTCTATCTGCTGATTAAAATGGAAGTTTCTCGTATTTTTTTAAACTGATGAACAGATCTTACTAACAAAATAATAATCTTAAATGGGAATAAGTTTGTTTTTAATAAAACTAAAGTTCTTATTAATTAAATTAACTAATTTATTCGATCACATAAATATTAGTACAGGTATGGGATAAAAATAAATATTCACCACATCAATAGTTGGATAAGATTGTGAAAAAATAAACAAAGGAGAGCCATTATGATAAAAAAAATGGTGAAATGAATGAAAATAAGCTTACAAGGGTAATGTATAATGTGGGGAACAGTTCAGATAAAATGCAACCAAAAAGAATCCTCTCAGTTAAGGGAATTCCTTTTGTTTCTTATAAAGTCAAGGGAAATTATGTCACGATCTCCATTGGTTTCTGTTCTGAGCCATATCTGATAACGTATCGGGCCACTGAGTTACACTGTCTATCGAACCCTAACTAGGCAGTCATGGTTCATTGACAGATCCCAATCCTATACAGCTTTCTTTCATCACACTTCACCGTGCCACAAACTGACCACTCTTTATAACCGATTATGGATTGGGCAAACAAAACGGGATGTAGAATTCGCTTGGACTACATTATTAGTACATATCCATGCCACCTAAGGTAGTTTTTCAAAGTGTTGACACCAACTAGATGATCGTCACCGAGCCAGAACAGATGTTGTCGAACCTCTGCATTTCTAACATAGTATTGATACTACATATCAATAATCCTTCGGAGAAAAATGATGATCAATCACAGTCATCGAATATCCACAACATGAGGAGGCCGGGTTTCCGAAGCATGGAGTAGAATTACTCTCACCAACGTGTTGTAAACCCAACTTTATACAGCCAGACCAAAATCAGGACTAGTTCAAATACAGATTTGTTTCAGCCTTGCAAAAGTGCCTTGGGTTTAAATGTAAAGTACATGCCATACCTACGGACATTGATTTGCAAATAAGTGGGTTTAGTTTGTACAGTTTGATTATCATTGCACAGTACGACAACATCATTGGCATAATCATGATTGAAAGTCCTCCTCCAGATGACAGACCCACACCACCACTACTTACCTTTCTGAGAGCTGTTTCCAGAATGCTGTCAATGACAAAGATGAAAGCAATGGTGAGATTGGGCATTTAATCCTACTGCCCGATTCTCGCAGGTCGCTCTTCCACGGGTTTTAAGTGATCTTCGAAGCGTGACGGAAACCAGTAGTTTGGACTCAATCAGAAGTAAACTTATTTCCCGGTAGTTGTTGCATGATGCGATTCCCTTTTGAAGATCGGGATGGCGGTCGCTTGACTTCAGGATGTTGAGGCACTCCATGTTTGTGAAACGTTTTCGACCAAACCGGTTAGTTCGCCAACAAAAGGTCTCACACCTTTAAAAGGGTTAGAGTTAGTCTTCTGGGCCTAGTAAGTCATCATGCTTCAAAATTTGGAGTTCCTTGCGGACATCCCGCTTTTTAAGTGGGTCGTCACCGGCTATGGATGACAAAACAGTCTGATCGATATTGGAGAGACACCAGACCAATTGAACTGGTTTTGGAAGAACTCTGTCTATTGTCCGAGACGTCGTTAACTGTTACTGGTGTTTTGTCGGCTTCACAAATCCTTTTTCTCAAACCCAGAGTTACTGCCAGTGGCTAAGTTGAATTAAAAGTGCCTCTGACAGTTAATAGATATGTTCGCTATCAGATTCGCAGCTAACTGAATTAGACTCGGGTCCCTTAAATAGTTGTAGGGAGCCAGTAAAAGCCCAGTGCATATAAGAGGGACGTTCGGTGGAGCCAAAAAACGAGACTGACTACTAGCCTTGCGTCTAACTCTGTCTGGTATTTGGTTGCGACCGGAGCAACAGTCGACTCGCTTATATCAATCAGTTTATGACGATGAGTTTTCTGAGCACTTAAACGAAAGATAGCGGTAGTGCTAACCAAACCATGACCAGAGTCCAGATAGTTACGCCAGAATGAACGGTAGTCTTGTACATAATCATGCCAGGGAGTACGTCTATGACTTCCGAAATTTGGTGCTGACCAGTGACAGGTTTTTGTCTGTGCAAAGCTGCTGGAGACTGTCACCATTAATTGACCGGAGATCGGCAAGCCTCTCTCGACCACCGATGAGACTCTGCTCTGTACCTAGACATTCGATCTGTGGGTTTGAACTTCTGACTAGCACTAAAATGTGTCGAGTGCGCTTTTTTGAGATCATGTGACTGGTTGTAAGATTCATCTATGATTGTATGCGGACTGCAATACGTCTTGGGGTAGGCGGAGATAACGACAGTGTATTGTTATTTTACTTCGACTTCTTGTCAATGTGCTAGAGCCTTTTTATCTAGCAACACAAAAGCGACTGTTATTGGGGATCCAATCGATTAATGCTGCTTCTGTTGTGCTATGGTGTTCAGTGCGACACCTCCAGCTAAACCAAATGAAGATCCCGTAGGGTCCTCTGGTAGGCACGTGTAAGACAAATTTTTTTGAATCTACAGATAGAGATCGAATTTCTTAAATTTTGATGGAGTCCTAAATATAGACCTCAGATAGACAACTAACGTTGATATTAAGATTTTCCACAGACATCGCCAAGCTACCTGTTGTCCAATTTATATTGGTGTGGGAACGTTAAAAGAGGCCAGTTTGAATGACTGACTGAATGAGTGAGTTTTCGGAAATGGTGGTTCATAATCTGTATTCGGTGATAGCATTTAAAATTTCTACAAGTCACTTTCTTGAATTCGTTTGAGAAGGACAAAATTTCCTCCCTAGACAATCTGCAGTGTGAGTTGTAAAACAGAAATAAATAAAAGATGGCAGCAGAACATAATAGAAAAATAGAGCATGATAAAACAAAATCTAAGGTAAATGAGTAATAATTATCTCTTCAGTTAACGGTGAACCTGAACATGCGAGTCGGTTTCTCCATAAGTATTCATTGTCATATTTGTGAAAAGGTTGGGATACTGCTTGGCTTTCCTGATCGACGCAGGTGGTTTTCTTACGAGGTCACTCCCCGAGCCTTTGGTCTGGGGGTTTAATCCACATGGCAATGAAGTAACATGAAGTAATACGATTCAATAGCCAAAATATCTGATATCACTATCGGTTTATGTTATGTCGTTTCCGAACATTTTTAATTCAGTATCCAATGCAACTACAATAGTAATAATTGATTCTGTTAGATGATTTTTTTAGAGACTAGTTTCTCAACTCTTTGGTTGTTGAGACCATAAGCTATTGAAATTTTTGTTCCTGGTTGTTTTGTCTTCTTGATGTGGCTTCACGGAACCAGTTATTCGTATTGGATTAAATTTCTGGTGTTAACTGGATAGGACTGTATCCGTAATAATTTATTCTCGCATAATAATCAGAGTACCCTACTATTACTTTAAATAGTTGCGGCGTCTTCTAGTGTACAAAATCGTTCGTCTTAATTGCAGAATCAAGTTATTAGGATCGAGAACTGGTCGAATCGTGAATAAAACAAGTAATTTGCGAAGGTGAGAAAAATAAATGGTTATAGATTTTAGGCGACATAATTGAAGGTCGTTCATAGTAACATGGCTCCATTGCCTTTGTTTTTTCTATAAACACTGAACACGCGGTCAGTTTTCATTTTTTCGTCCTTCTCTTTACCCATGAGATTTCTATCCTTCATATAAGGTATTGCAAAAAAACTAGTGCAACAATATATACTTGATTAGTCTGTTTCATTATTTGTGGATGTAAAGAACTGCCATTTAAGGGTTTAACATTTTATCTGTATTACAAATAATGAAACTCTGGTCATAGCATGTTCTTGTTTACTCAGGATCATGTTTTTTTTTTGTGAAGTGATCTAACAACAAATAGATATTGTTATCACATTAAAATTCTTTCTTGGACTTTGCTATTTTGTTTACTAATTCTGTTTTCTTTTTGACTAGTCTTGATAAAATTTTTCCAATAAATGTTGTAGACTAAAACATTACTCTTAGATTCAAGTAGTTTTAATAAATGAACGAAGTTTGGAATTGTTAAAACAAATAGATAGAGTGCCAATCAATAAATGAAATGGAATGGAACTGTGTGGCAGTCTACAAGACCTGACTATTGACTCAAACTCCCGAACGAAATAATATTAAACGTAGACAAAACTACTAGCCAGAAAGAAAGATTTTTGTTTAATAGCGTGTTTATATACAAATGGTTAGGCAAAAATGAGCATGGTTATTTGCCGTAAGCGTTTAAAGGTTATCATTTTTATTGTTTACCCACTCTCCAATGAACCAATATTTGACTGTTAGGGTTAATTTATTTCCCATCATATAAAAAAAAATTGATGTAGACGAATTCGTCTAGTAAATTGAAAGGGTTCATTTTTCTAGCCTGATGTTTGTTTTCACAAATATATTCATCCTTCTAAAGCATTGTGAAATAAGCTCATTTTTATACCAAAAAATTGTTTTAATTTTGATCAGTTTTCTTCGTTTGTTTGTATATGTTCTTCACAGTTTGATGGCCACTTTAATGTTTGAAGGGATTATCGCACTGATTGGTAACATTTTGTATTAGATAACCAATTACACAATCAGATACGTAATCACGTGAAAACTATGCATGTTTGTTGTTATTTCATATATACATTGCTGTCAGTTTGCCATGTTTGTAATTCTCAGTGCATCTGACATGCATCATATTAGTTCATGATCAATTTTGAAGCTAGATGAAGACTTAAGGAAATTAAAATTAAGTGTCTATGACTCATTTTTTAATCCTATTCCCATCTTTTTTTGTGCATAAGTTGGATTTTTATAGACAATTTATGTTCGTTTAATTTATATCGTTTACGGTGCATAATGGATTATATATTAATAATGAAATTAAAACTTGAGTAAAAGTCTCACGTTACTACGCTATTCGATAACACAAAAATGGAAATCAACTGAGTAAAGCATTTACTTAAAAGAAATGAGTCAGTAGAGATCCTAAGTAACTATGAGTTTAATATTTAAATAAATAGTAATAGCTATTTTATGAGACTCGGCATGGTAATCGGTGACTTTGGAAAACGAATACTACATGCTAATACTTAACGTCTCATATTGTGGTAACCTATAACTTAATATATGTGACTTAACTACCTCGGCTGGTTTACAGTTTTGAGTGTTTAAGTGCATGGTTACTTTTGTTTCGCATTCACTGGTTGAATTCCGTTTATTTGACTTTGACTATGCATGTATCACTTTGTAAAATGTAAACTACTAATCTATGTAACACACCACATTACCTATTCCTTATAATTATAAATCTCATTTACCATCTACTCGATAGACGATCGTTTTAATGCTGTTTGAAATGTTATTTTGGCTGCTTTGAATAACTTAACTCATTTATAATGAGTATCCCAGGTATATTATTTTATAATTTGGAAAGTGATGAAGTTTTAATCGAGACTATGAATGTTATAATTATGGGTTTCCCTTAGATTCTATTTCGTTAGTATAAACAAATCATACAACGAATTATTTCTATGTTATCACAAAATACTATGTTGACAATCGTATTTTTAGTTAGTGATTTACTTAACACATATCACCCACAATACCACTGATTATTGTAATTTGATTTTGTGGTGTTTTTTTCTCATGGATTTGTACAACTTGTTACGGGTTATTTTTATTTTCTTTTTGGCTAACATTTGACAACCTAATAAAATTATATTACACTTATGGTGGTTAGTTTTATAAATTGTTTTTATTTTGTTGTTGACAATAATGGACAATGTACAGTGTTCTTTCCTCTACAATTCAAGTATTTTCTACAAGTTTAGTAAGTTCCATTTAAAAGGTTGCTTGTCTGGAAAATTAAGTGACATAAATAAATCCTTACAGTGTTGCATATTCAAGTATAAGTATATCAGTTCAAACGCCACTCCAATCCACCTATTTTGTTTTGGGCAGCCTGGTAGTTTTATTAGCCTTCATAACTAAGTTTTGGTTCAAAGCCGAGTACGTGCATCTATATTTGGTAAATGAGTTATATTATACTCTCATGGAACTATATTATCAATGAACTTCTGAATTCATGTGTATAAAACATGATTTAAATGGATTTATCAAGCTTCTATTTTATGCTAATCAAACTTTTGCCATCGTAACTTTCTTATTTAGTAAAAACAGAAATATTATGCAGTTTAATTATTAATTCGCTGTCTGACTTTCAATCTGGTTGAATTGTTTTCTTAATTTATACTGTATGATATTTTTTTACATACGCACATAATTACAATTTATTTCCAATGTTTATCAGAAATTGTTTTTGTTTGTACGTATATTCACTTTTTTTTAAATCTTATAATTATAGGTTCCTGTAGATGATTTACATTTAGCTTCAGAAGCATTGATTAAAGCCTTATTATTACGTCAAAAATACATTACTTCATCACAACAATCATTTCATTGTACAACTAAACGGTATTTAAGTGTACTGGATTCAGGTTCAGTAAAATTATTGGATTCACAGGAGAAGCAATATAAATCTATACACACCCCTGTATTTGGTAAGAGTTGTATATTTTAATTTTCCCATATGTTTACATTGCCTTGCTACTAGTAATAATAATAATAATAATAATAATAATAATAATAATAATAATAATAATAATAATAGTGTTACATATTATTTATTTCATTTGTTGGATTTGTGTACAGCTTTTTTGGTAGTGACTATTTACTGCAAATCAATCACTCCTAGTTTCATATTCATATTATGTATCAAACGCTCCAGTCTTTTTATGTTTTATTTTCTGTTGTGATATAAAATTGTGTAATACGTCGACTTTTATATTGTACTGTTAATATATCTACCTATCGACAAATTTAAACAGTATCCTGGTTAGTTTTCCTATCAGGAGTGAATGAAACCTATTATCCAATAGTAGTTTAGTTTCTTGACGAATTCAGTTGACTTTATGTATAAAGTGTTTTTTTTTTCATAATTCATGCTTGTAGGTAAAGACTTTGACTTTAATAGCTGTTTGGGAATTTATTCTTGCAAAAAGTGTTTGTGTTAAGAAACCCTCTTTAGAGTCCTCCAAAATTCCACTGGAATTAGTCAAAAATGTTTTCAAATCATCATTTTGAAATCTCCGAACTACTTGTGTAAAGTTGTACTAGTCTTGAGAAAGTTGCATCCTTAATGGGTGATTCTCAAGGATACTTTGAATTCCATAAATACCCACGCTTTTTCTACCGTATCATTATTCACCGAACCTAGATCTTTCTAGGTTTTCTTCTTGGTTCTTTTGTGCTCTGAGGTAGAAAACCATTGCTTAGACGTCAAGAGCTCCTAGTGTTCCATTTGTTTGTTTGAATAGCTTAGCCACTAGTTTCAAATCTATTTAGTTGATAAGTGCATAATTCTCAAATTATTATACAATCGAATACCAAAAAGTATATTGTGGATAATTCTACTTCTTCTTACATAAGAGCGATTTCGTTTCATTTGAAGAATATTCCAATGCTTTGCAGTCATTCACAACATATGATTTGGGACGTACGTATAGAGTAGTCTAGTGTTCTAACATTTCATGGGATTGTATTTAAAAGATTAAAAGTCAAGAAATGGGAAACTTTAGGTAATATACTTTGAAAAAGATAAATTAATTCAAAGAATGAGAAGTTAGAAATAGTGTTGAAATACAAGATTCAGGGAAAAATAAGAAATTAAACACATGTACGTAGCTGTTATCGATTCAGACCATTGATCATCGTAGGTCTCTAACCATAGATTACGACTATCCCCAACATTATGTGAGCAGTCTTTAGCTTTCAACACATTTCGGTCAGAGAGTTGTGTTAGCATGTGTTAGCATCTTCACCGCTCCTAGTCTTTTTCAAACTCAAACCCACTCATAATGTATCCTGTATAACATGTTGAGTTGAGCGGTGGTTGCGTATGTATAACATGTCACAACCACCTTGTTTGATGAAAGTTCACAACTTCATCTTTCGTAAAAGATACTTAGGGTGAGCTTACCTTTAGTACCGAGAAGAGAGCGTTTTAATTTATTCAGTTAACAGCCAAACTTCTACAGTGTCATGTAAGCATTTAAATAGTACAGGGAAACGCCATTCATTATTTTATTCCATAGTTTTATTCTAGATATTTTTCCAATCACTGGGACTTTTACAAATAAGATGTAAATAACTGATAAGACCCATTGGGTTATCAAAGGAAATATGAAGAATATTCGGCTAAGAGACTCTTCATTTTGAAAATGACTTACTGAAACTGTACGATCTTAGTAATAATAGTAATTATATATATATATATATATATATATATATATATATATATATATATATATATATATATATATATATATATATATATATATATATATATTAGAAAATACGGTAGAATTGTATCATAAGTTGTTTGAAAATATCGGATATCTGAATGTGTTTATTTATTAGTCTGAAAGTTAATAAGAAGTGACGGTATGAAGATAGTTTGAGGATAATTGTTCACTTGGTAAGTGTGCTTACTTACTTGCGTACGTTTGTGACCCCTTCCAGAGGAGCACAGACCGCCCACCAGCAATCTCCATCCAACCCTATCCGGACAATCCTTCCCAGTTCTTTCCAGTTGCTGATCATCTTTTTCATATCTGCTTCCGATTTCCGACGTAGTGTGTTCTTCGGCCTTCCTCTTTTCCGTTTCCCTTCAGAATTCCAGGTTAGCGCTCGCCTCGTGATGCGGTTTGTTAATTTCTGTAGTGTATGTCTTATCCACTTCCAACGTCTTTTCCCAATTTCCTTCTCAGCTGGAAGTTGGTTTGTTCTCTCCCACAATAGACTGTTGCTGATGATATCTGGCTAACGGATATGGAGTATCTTGGGTAGACAACTGTTTATAAATACTTGTACCTTTTTGATGATGTAGTAGTTCTCCACGTTTCTGCTCCATACAGTAGAACTGTCTTGACGTTCGTATTGAAGGTTATGACTTTGATATTGGTTGGCAGACAGTTGTTTTGAAATCCATCTCTTCTTCATTTATAGGAATGCGGCCCTTGTTTTGCCAATCCTCGCCATGTCTGACTCTGGTCCTTACTTGGCATGTATCTGTCAGTTGTCCCCCATGCACGACTCTGCATTGTAGTCAGTCATATGAATTCCGTATAATGTTGACGATCTTCTGAGGTACTCAATAGTGTGGAAGAAGTTTCCATAATGTTCTCCTATTCACACTGTTAAACACCTCATAGTCAATGAAGTTGATGTATAGTGACGGGTTTCACTCAACTGGTTGTTCAATAATGATCCGTAGTGCCGCGATTTGGTCTATGCACGACCGATCCTTACGGAATCTAGTCTGTTGTTCTCGAAGTTGGGCATCTGCTGATTCTTTCATGCGGTCCAGCAACACTGTAGAAAACTTTTCCTGGTACCGGTAGTAGTGTGATACCTCTGTAGTTCTCACATATGCTCAGATCTCTTTTCTTTGGTATTTTGATGAAGTATTCTTTCCAGTCTGTCACTAGCGCTTGTTCTTCCTCCCAAATCTTCCTGAATAGAACGTGGAGTATACTTGCAGTTACGTCAATGTCTGACTTCAGAGCTTCAGCCGGTATATTGTCAGGTTCTGATGCTTTCTCAATGTTGATTTGTCTGATGGTGTTGGCGGGACATAGATCGGATTAAAGCATGTTCCATGCACGATTGCGTTGCTGTACGCCGATTGGTTAATTTTTATCCGATCAGCGCTGGCCTATACTTGGAGAACACTCTAAAATCTTCTCATGTAAAAACTATGAATATATTAACATTTTTCTTATCGTGCTTCTTACTTTCATTCACCCTTGTTATTTGGAATACAATTTTTTCCTGTTCAACCGTGTTCTGATTCGGGGACTTGTCGAGTGAATTGGTGTCCAAGAATACTAAGCAATAAGAATAGCTGGGTCGTAAAGAGATAATCATGACAGATGGTCATCCTGATTTCCTCGATCGTTGGTGGAGTGACATCCATAAGAAGGTTTGTATGTGCTGCTTCGATGTCCGGTGGCTTCAACGGAGCTAGTCTATTAAAGAGCTCCTCGAAGTATTCTACCCATCCGTTCCCCTATTCTTGAATCTAGGTGATTGTCTTCCCTTCTTGGTCCTTGACTGGTCTGTCTGGTTTACTATATTTCCCTTTCAGTTTCCTCGTCGTGTCATATAGTTGTTTCATATTCTCTTCTCTTTCAGCTTTATCCGCTGTCGTTGCTATCTCTTCCACGTGTTTCTGCTTGTTTGCTCTAATGCTCCTCTTCACTCTCTTGTTTGCTTCTATGTATTCAGCTTGTGCCTTGACTTTCTCTGCTCTTGTTCGACTGTTGTCAATTGCTGTCTTCTTGTTCTTTCTTTCTTGAATCTTGTCTGGGATTTTGATAGAGATCCATTTCTAACGATTATGCTTCTTGCGACCCCGCACCTCCTGACACGTTGAAGTCAGTGCTTTCTTGATCCCTTTCCAGTTATGCTCCATCGTAGCTCTTTTCTTCTTCAGTAGATCGTGTAAGGCTTGGAATCTGTTGTCGAGAGTTATCTTGAATTCGTTAAGTTTGTTAGTATCTCATGGGGAGGCTGTACTGAACCTTCCATTAACCTTGTGAATTTTTTAGTGATGCAAATATGATCGATCTGTTTCTATGTAGTGTGATCCAATGAGACCCAAGTAGCTTAGAGTATGCGTTTGTGAGGGAATATTATTCCGTCTATAATAATTTTATTGGATGCGCGTAAATTTTCAAATGTGTTACCATTTTCGTTCTTTTTTCTCCAGTTAGTCCATATCGTCCCATGATATCTTCATCCCTATTGATGACCTCACGAAATTACAGTTTGATGTAATGCGAACTGCTAATGTAGAGTAAACGAAACCTAGAATGTCATTTAACGTGTTGAACTCGAAGCTCAGGTATAAAATACAAGATGTTTCTGGGATTTTACGCTTTACTATGTGAAAACATACTGTTTGGTTCCAAACTTATCGTTTTTCATGAAGTAATTTTAGATTGTTTGAAGATATGCCTGTTAGAAGTAGCCAAGTTCTTGAATCTGGTCTAGGGATTTGGACTGGCGGTAACTTTAGGAGAGCTACTAGCGGGGAAGAAAATATTTTAGTGTTGAAGTAACCAACGCGTTATTCAGTATAGAAAATGATAATAATGGTTAAGATCACGTGGTAGACCTATTTCTGTCTAGAAACAGTTATAAGACTTGAGTGTCTCCTATTTAATCCTTTTTGGTGTTGCTGATGTCAGAGTTTTTTTTTAACGGGAACTATACAGCTATCTTGTGATCTCCACATTTTACTGTTTCTCCAAATCATATCAGTTCACGGCAAAAATCTTCATAAACGGGGGCATTTTCACTTTCTTGTCTATTGTCTACTCTTTGGTTTTTTAATTTTGGTATCGTCCATCTTGTCATTCTTTAAGTTTTCTTTTTCATAAGATTAATACACCATTAATTTATATTATTCATTATAAATATTAGCCAACATTGATCTCTGTTTCGGTTACAGCGAAATATTCGTTTTTTAAGTGGTTATTTGTTATATATTCATAAGTCTATAGCTCATGGATCACCTCTAGCATAGTTTACATTTTATAAACATGTATTTAGTGAGTGTTTTTTTACTTCGTAACCATTAATGACTGTTGTTTATACTTGTATACCCTAGGCAAAAGAACATTATCTTCACTGATTTTTTTCTTTGCTTCACTAATAAAGATCTTATGATGTAACAATGTTATTATCTATTTTCCCTATGTTTATAATGTAAGTGATATTTCGAATAAAACGCCATTTTTAATTCATTTTGAAGGGTCAAACACAGTCGACAATATCACCAACACAACTACCATCCCCATCAATTACAGCTACAATAATATTAATAGTACCGTACACTACATACGAACATGTAGAAGAATCTCATCTCTCGAAGGTACTAATTATTTAATTTGTGTAAACTACCCCTCTCGTCTCCATTCAGATTTCGCATGCAATCCTTCTGAAATTTAGTAGTGATAATAATATTAATATTAATGATAATGTTAGCAGAAGTAGAACAAGAAATGACTTGAATTTCAACTATACCCAGTTGATAATATTTAATACCTACTAACATTGTTAGTATTATTATTAAAAATATTGATAAGCATCCCATTATCCCTTCTGTCCAATATAGTCGGTTTTCTTTTCTAATTATTGGAAAGCATTTTGGCATGTAAACTCCAGTTGGTTATGTCTTTGCTTTGGTTTCCGACCCCTTCCCATACCTCTCTCTTTCTCATGAATGTATTTTCGCTCGAAAAAACGAAACCACCAATAGTATCCAAACATGTATTATCATTCGAGATTTATACATAGCTTGTTATTTTGTATGCTAGCAACAATTTTATTGTGATTCCTTTACTACTTTTATCATTTGTTTATTAATCAATCAATTCTTTTCATTGAATACTGCAATTTGTTTTGTTTATGTATTTTAAACTTCTATTCCTTTTAATTTATATGTGCTGTGGTATAATGTTTCAACATTGGCTTGTCACTTACTCAGCACATGCTAATTAATACTATATATTTATATATATTATTTGTATACATGACTGTTTTGGTACTCTGTATGTCTACAACTTATGTTTTGTGCGTTTTTTCTAGTGCACCAATTAATACAAAAAAAATTTTTTTTTAATTACATCCAAGTGATAGTCCGTATTTGGGGATTGTTGAACCTCTACAGTAGAAAAGTTGCTTACGCCTTAACCTTCGTACATTATTTAACTAAATAACTGCTAATCCTGTAATTTATCGACGTCATTTAGAAGTCTTAGGTTAGGAAAGTTTATTCCGACTTTCAACACAAAACGATACAACCAGAACACGGTGAACAGAGCAAATCTATATTATTTAGCAGACAATTATGGTGTATGTGAATGAAATTACCAAACAATTAAACATTTATTACCTAAACTGGTAAGATAAACAAACGCCTAAGCTAACATATACTAATTCGACCCGTGGAGATGTATTTAGAAATACTGGCGAATCATCATGACCTAAAATATCACTTTGTCTACCTAGATGGTTAATTTAAAGATTCAAATGATCTAGACGTATAAAAACCTATGTGAGCTTGATTTACTATTATACGTCACAGTTTATATCATGAACTGATCTTTATTAAATAAATACCAAAAAAAAACACTTTTTGTTCTCATCCAGTCAGTGACGTAAATCATGAAAATATCTTTATCGACGTTTCATGCGCATATGTACAAATCAATAAATAAGTGTTTCCATATTGTTCTTTTCTATTATTTACGTTAGTTATTTTAGTGCCTGAGTCCTTTGAACTTTGTTGATTAGTTATTTAAATATTTCATTATTAAACTTGGCGGGTAAATTTGTCTAAGATAGTAAAGCTCATTCAATCAATTCAAGAAAATTTATTTTCTACTGTCTTACTATCTACACCCGTTATTATCAGAATAACACTCTACATAAATATTTCAATCTTAAAACGGATGTGAGTGTTACATAAAGTAAACTAATGAATATTCTATTTTGTATGAACACGCTAAAAGCATTTAATTTAGATTGATTTTGCTTCTCGTTATAAAACTACTCATACATTATTACTATTAAAAGCTCTTGTAGTATTTATTCAGATGAAAAAGCAATGTTATATATTATTCAAGTCTTAAGTACTGTTTTAAATTTTACTAAAGACAGTTAGTTGACACATCTCTATAAACATTATTCAAAACATAATGTCGAATCATTTCGAAACATATAGCTATTCATTTGCAAATATTTCTTGACTTGCATTCGTATCCTATGGTAAGCATCAATTCTCCGACGATTGTAACTATATCTTAGTTTGTTGAAAAATCTTAGCTAATACAGACTTTAGATCCAGAGTCTCATAATAAATGCTTAAGGTAAATTGTACCACAATATCAGTTCATTTCATCTGGTGATCACATTGTAATTTAACTGTTAGGATTCGGTCAATAATGATAGCTATATTGTCGTTTACTAATTTGTTACCAATCTCTGTATGTTGTCTCATTTTGGATTTTTAAAAGAAATGCCTATTCATGGTACGAGTGTGAGGTAATTGCACATTAGAACAACTAGACAAAAACAATTAATTTAATGATATATTGAATACTGATGACAGTATTTATCCTTGTGACAAAGCATCTCTTAATAGTGAGTTTCTAACAATCCTCAGTTCTGAACTCATAATTTTTTTCTTCACTGGAACTTCTGTTAATTCTAGGAAATAGAATTTGTTTGATTATCTTTATTATTGTGAGATCTTCAACGTCTTTAGTTAGATCCCCAGTAGGGTCAAGGATGTGTACCGCTAGGGAGTCCTACACTAAAACGAAACACCTGTCTAATGCTTCGTGGTTTTTAAATAGTTGTTTGACTAAAATCAGTTCTTAATGCAAGTTATACGGTAGTTGTGTCGGTCAGTCCGTTCAGAATTAGGGATTAAATGGTTGTGGTCAGTTTGAATGGTTGAATGCACAAGCGTCAAGGTTTACCGTAGTTTTTCGCACATAAATCAATATACAAATGAATTATAAGTGGGTATATAAGAGTTTTTCTGTATTTATTTATTGCTTATTCCATCATTGTATGGGAGTTTACAGACTCTCATTTCAAAATAGGTTAGCTTTTAGAAATGCATATTTAAAAAACCTTAATTATGGTGTTGTATATATTGAGTGTGTATCTTATAAGAAGGAGCGTCCCATTTTTATCAAGCATTTTATCTTTATCTCTTAAAGACTATGAAACTTATGTTCTATGTCTGATCTGATTTTATTCTGTTATTTAAACGCAATAGACGAATTTAGAACTAGTGTTTCCATTTTATTATCAAAACATTGTAAAGTATGAACTAATCGGTGCAAACAAAACAAACCATAATATAATTATTTTTATTAATACCATTATTATTAATGTGAATTAGTCAGACTCTACATAGATGTTGATTCAAAAAGCTCAAACGTCTGCCAACTCTTAGTTTTTCTTAAATCAAATATTTATATCCTTTAAAATTATCCTCTCTCTTGAATTAATTACTGTATGGTAAATGTAATTTTGGAAAGTTTTCATACTGAAATTTATCATTACAAATCAATATTTTATAGCAATACACATTGTCACTTGTCAACTGCTTATACAAGGCTACATGTAGTGTTAACTCTGTGAGCTTAAAGGAATTTCATGCTCCAGATATTATTGATATTTTTTCGTTGATATCAGCTACGAAACTGTTGATTGTATTGCATCCAACAATTCAGTTTACTACTAGACTTTTAAACGCATGTTACCCTACAAAAAGCCCCTTCTGCTTTCCAACATTGAAATTTATGTATTTCTGTTTACCTCTTTTTATAGGTATATGTTACTCATATAACAAATACTTCCATTCAACTATTCTCTCCATGTCTATCTACATAACAATTATTATTTGCGCATCCTAGACTTCATGTGTATATGAGCGTTTGCGTTAACTGAATCCTACAAATAAGTCATTTTTATTTACTTGTTTTTATTTCATCTCACGGAGACTGAAATCTGATTGTTTTTTAAAACACTTCTGGGGAATTCCTATCTTTTAGATCATCCAATTCATCCTCCTGGGAAAACTGGTGATCCTTTCGAGATAGACTATTGGCCTGAACCATTAGATGTTAAAATGGAATTTCGCAAGGGTATAATGCACATCGAAACATTGTCTGATTCACCAGATAGAAATCAGGTGAATTTAATAAATGGGACATCAGAACATAATCATAATAATGAAACTGTTGATGTTGATCAACCTATGAAAAAAGATCTGCCAGAATTTACTATACCATCTCTACAGACATTCTTCTCAGATTTTGATACAATACGTACATTTGTAGGAGATGGTCCATTGAAGTCATTCTGTTATCGTCGACTGACTTACTTGGCTTCAAAATTCCAATTGCATTCATTGCTGAATGAAGCTCGGGAATCAATTGAGCAAAAACGTGTATCACATCGTGATTTCTATAATATTCGAAAGGTAAATTACTTTAAATTATCAATAAACATTTTTTCTTTTGTGAAATTCACCTAAACACTTTCGGAGATTACTCAGTTCCCTCTTAAACTGTTTACTAAAGTTGCTCTATTATTAACTAACAGGAGGATAACTTTTGTTGAGATCATAAACCGATCCATGCTAAACCACTATTAAAAACCCGGTTCACTGGATGGCCGTTTCGTCCTAGTATGGGAGTCTTCAGGAGTGCGCATCTTCGGGCCTTGAACCCAGAACCTCCTGTCTCGCGTGAACTCTTAATCTCCAGACTTCTGAGCCGCATCCAACGGTGTTAATATCTAACTTCAATCCAGGTGAATAGTTGGATTATTTTTATTGCGTGAAATGTCTCAAATTAACCGATGTATACCACTGTGTTATGCAGTCAATAAAAATAAACGATAACATTTCAAACCAAATATACATAGAATAAATTGCTGGAGATAAATAATTTTAAAATATTAGTTCATGCAATTTACTCAGTATTGGAAAATTATTTCACAGATTCAGTTTTAATTTTCTTGGTTTGTTTATGGTACACAGAGGACCAGGTTAGATATCTGCTTACAATTTTACAGAATTTTAGTTCAGCTTTTAACAATTAGCGTCAGAGGAAAATGGTGATCGTCTGCTGCAACTGTGCTCAGACAATCGTTTATTTTTAGTAAACACAAATTTTAAGCATAAAGAGAGACATCGTCTAACATGGCGACCCCCTACACCAAACCAACAGTGGATTCAAATAGACCATATTGCCATCAGTTATCGTTGGAGAGGAAAGGTAGAAAACTGTCGCTCGTTCTGGAGTACCTGCTTGGACTTCGACCATGCCTTAATACGTGCATGCATCTGCTTGCGCCTCACTGGACGCCAAAAAGTCACACTAGGAAAACCCATTAGAACTGAATTGAGTAGCGAGAAAACCAAAAGTAGGTTCCAGGAACAACTGAGGTAACACTTAGGTAGTTCTGAAGACGAGGCTGACCCAGATGTTGCTTGAAAAGACATACAAGCAGCTGTGGAAACAGCAGTGACATCTATCAGTGATTTAAACCACAGGGTTACAAAGAACCAATGGATTTCTTCAAGGCCTATTGCACTGATGGATTCTCGCAAACTCATCCCATCAGGCTCTGAACACGATGAAGAGCGAAAACAAATCTATAGTTAATCTGAAACGAGGAAGGGCAGCTGATCCAGATGGATTGACTCCAGAGGTCTTTAAGGATGGTGGTCCAATTTTAGCGATTAGGTTGACTAATATTTTAGCTAAGTTCTGGGAGTTAGACCTTATTCCATCTGACTGGTCACAATCACTTATCGTCCCAATATATAAGAGAGGGTCAAAATCATCCTGTGACAACCACAGAGGGATTAGTTTAACTAATATAATATCTAAAATACTAGCCTCGATAATTACCAGACGCCTAACTAAGACTCGTGAACTGCAAACACGAGAGAATCAAGCTGGCTTCAGACCTGGTCGTGGCTGCATCGACCACATATTCACCATTGGTCAGGTTCTAGAACATAGGTATACTTATCGGCGTCCGACCATGGTGGTGTTTCTTGACTTAAAAGCAGCATTTGACTCTGTAGACCGCGAGAATCTGTAGCAGCGTCTGTCATTGAAAGGCGTACCTCAGAAGTACATAAACCTTGTGAAGGCTCTTTACTCGAACACTACCAGTCGAGTCAGAGCTTATGGCGAACTGTCATCTGCTTTTGCAAGCTCAAGTGGTGTCCGTGAAGACTCAAATTTCTCCATTTTTTTAACTTCATCATAGACATATTGATGGAAATGACATTCTCGTCGACTGAATTCTCGGGTATTGATCTCCTACCAGGAGGTCCACTTATCGACTTAGAATACGCAGATGATATAGTCATGTTTGGTGAAGACGCTGACAAAATGCAGAGTCTTCTGGTAGCACTAAACAACAATGCCACAATGTTTGGAATGCGCTTCTCTCCCTCTAAATGCAAGTTGTTGCTTCAGGACTGGTCTGCGTCAACACCTGAACTAAGAATAGGGAGTGAAGTAGTCGAAGGCGTTGACAACTTCACTTATCTTGGAAGTCTGATCAGCCCTAATGGGTTGGTGTCTGACGAAATCTCAGCACGGATTTGAAAAGCTCGTTTGGCTTTTGCCAACTTACGTCACCTATGGCGAAGGCGAGATATCCGTCTATCAATAAAAGGACGAGTATACTGCGCGGCAGTCCGTTCTGTTTTAATTTACGACAGCGAAACATGGCCATCAAGAGTAGAAGACACTCGTAGGCTACTAGTATTTGACCACAGATGCCTTAGAAATATTGCTGGCGTCTGCTGGGATCACCGGGTAAGTACTAGTGAAGTTAGACGCAGGGTATTAGGGAATGATGGTAAATCAGTTGATGAGGTTGTGAATCTTCATCGACTGAGATGGTTGGGCCACGTGTTACGTATGCCTGAACACCGATTAAGACGACGTGCAATGCTAACCGGTGTAGGGGATGGTTGGAAAAATGTTAGTGGCGGACAAACCAAAACGTGGCATCAGTGCTTGAAGTCACTAACTTCTAGTCTGAGTCATGTTGGTAGGTGCAAACTACTTGGTTGGGGTCCGCGTGACTTTCGTAACCAATGGTTGGAGACTCTTGGTGACATGGCTTAGAATCGATCACAATGGCGTCGGTGTATACACTCCCTGTCTTCCCTTAAACTAAGAGATTAAAATCGCCTCATATATTTCTTTCCACGAACTCATTCTTTCTTCCTGTACTATATCCTTATTGCAATGTTTCTTTTATATATTACCGCCTCTGAATGAACTACTTTTATGAATCCGGTGTTCATCTTGTTGTGTTAATGAGGTATGGCAACTTGGACCGATGCATATATGTGCCTGGTCTTACGTTGTGACTGACTGACTGAGAGGAAAATGAACACAAGCAATATAGAATAAAAAGTGGGTAGAATGATATTGTGAGTCAGAGTAAAAAAAGTAACAAAAATTTTAATATTTAGACGAAGATAACTAGTAACTACACCGGGTTTTTCTCTGCGGTTAATGCTGTATGATTTGTTAGCTTACATGACGGCTATTCAATTTTTCCAAGTTGCTCTATTTATTATTTACAACGTAAATTGACCTCGGTTAGGTAATCATTAGGATCTATGAAACACTAGACAGCTGTTTTCTCTTAATATAAAATTCTTCACCAGTGCTCATCCATTTTACTTTTTGCAATTTCAAAAAGCTTGAAGACTAAAAGAGCTCCAGTGGACTATTGCTTGGTAGAATACTTGAAAATACATGAAGTCTTGAAAACAGGATAACTGTAGTTCATAATAAAAAAGGTTACCTTGCTTTTTTATTCTCTACAGACTCCTTACAAAAGAAGTGATATATATTTTTGTAGATAATTTCATTATGAGTTGAAATCAAATGCAAAACCATTAAAAGTAATGCACAACAGTAGGGAAATATTTTGTTTACTACACCACACAAGATCCAATACAACAAATATCATCCAATCATTCATTTAAATTCCAATGTCCTACATTTTCAAATTTTTGTTACTTTGGGATATAAATAGGTGGTAGGTTACCATCGATTTTTATCAATGCGTAAATGCTTTTTTCGATCAGCTCTACAGATTCCAAATTCATACTATCACATAGAATTTTCTCTGTCTTACTTTCTTATTATCATTTTTCTGGAAAGATATACAGTAGTTATATATATATCACCACCTCTAGTATATCTTCCTCATATTATTTCTTTCCCTTTATGAATTGAACGACGAATCTATTTACAATCGCTATTCTGATTAAGCTAATTGTTCAACTATATCACTAGTTATTTTGTTCACTGTCTTATGTTACTAAGCCATATCTTCTCATATAAGCATACACATATTAATTATGGTAAAGTACATATGTGTTCATACATAGAATGGGCAATCAAAAGAGTAGGTATATTTTTCATTTCCTTATTGATTAATAAGTTAAAATTTAGAATATCTATCTTTATCTAGGTCAACTGAGATTGTCTTTAAATGGTTGTTTTTCTTCAATTTTAACCAATAATTTAAATTTACGTTATTGTTTTTTATTAGGTTTGTTAAATTAAAATAGGAAGTTCCTACTAACTCAACGGTGTTTACCGTAAAGGATTATCGTTCGTTGTGATTAAAAACATTTATATTATCATAGCCTTATTTCAGTATGTTGGAAGAAAGTTGGAGGTGGACAAATAGGTACATGTCATCAGTCTCTTAAGTCATTGAGAATTGAAATGAGCCGTTTTTATACATGTAGAATACTTGATTGGGGTCCGCATGATTATCATCAATGTTTGGAGACTTTGAATGACACGGCTTAAAATCGTTTGTTATGGCGCAGGTGGATTCATTCTTTGCCTACCCTCGAATTCTGAGCTTCTGGATTTCACTAATTTATGTTTTCTTGAATCATATTTCTGATGCTTAATCTTTCCTATTATCACTGATACTGTTACTACCTCTACTATTTAGCCTGTTTCGTTTTTTGCACCAATGAGATATGGCTACTTAAACCGATGTACATACGTACTAGGTTCTAAGTTACGCATAACTGTCTCCCTTGTTGGTTAAAACACATTCAACTTTCAACCATTGGGTTATAGTCTCAAACCATCGTAATTCAAATTAAGTGGCCGGGTTGTATTTGGTGGTAGCATACTAACAGTACAGTGGTAACATTAGTGTCTACGTTACTTGACGACTCGTTCAAATCTGTAGTAGATTATAATTGAATATTTTTACACTGAAATTTTATAAAGGACCAGTGTTTAGGGAATTGTGTGCATAGTTCTCCTTTGCATATCGTTTAAGACTGCATTTTCTGTTTTGATTTTGAAGTTCAACTGAAGATAAGAAAATTAATAGGATTAGTTATTAAATTGGTAAATTTCGTTGCTCTTTATGTATTCTATAGCGATGCTTTGAAGTATCTTCATATTTTAGTTAGAATATTGTAATATTAATCTACTAGTCAGTATTGTCATAGAATGCAATCATTTCAGGGAAATTTTTTAATTTTCTAAACTTTGTATTTAAACTGATAACGAAAATGATCACATTTCAACTCCCTCTCTTTTTGATGGAGTTTTGTTCTTTGAGCTGGATGGTTTGGTCGTGGAACTTTCATCGTTCTTCTGAACGACATTAGCACAAACTTCAGATAGAAGTGAAGTGTTCGAATTTCTCCATATGCGTTTCACAGCTTGTTCTGTACACCTCGATGTTGATTGATTCTTATTGAACTAAAATTTGTCGTTGTTTACTTCCTTGTTTCGGTTTTGTCTCCCATTGGCTTGATTTTTGTTCCTATATTTGTGCATAATTTTCCTGACTGGTTGATAAATTGGATTGATTTCAATATACTTGTTGATTGCTGATTGACCTGAGTGCCAGGCTTCTAAAAATTCTCTGGTGTTTTCGGAATTTCCTCTGTCCAAGATTTCCACATTTTTCCAATCGAATGAGTGTCCGCAGTTGTCCACGTTCATGGATATAAATGAGGAAATATCATGGCGTTTGACTGCTAACTGATGTTCATGCATGTGCCACCATCTCAACTTTCTCTCTTCACGTGCATACACTTTGTATAAAAGTTAGTGATATTAACCAGTCACTCAAATAGATGTAAAGTTTGAATCACCAATCAATTATCATTACACTTTATTAAGTTGATAATTGCTTATGTCTATTACTTATTCGTGATCTAAGTTATTAAAACCAACATATTATTTCAGTTTTATTTATATTATAAACTATTCAATTCACATTAATATATTGAATTATAAGCCTTAATCGTTTACAGTAACAATAAAAAAGAGATTATTTTCATAGGTGTTTTAATTTTGTAATCAATTGAGTTGTTTCTCATAATTTTTATAATAAATATTTTATACTTATTATGATCTCAAATTTCATTTATTGATTTTATTTCAGGTTGATACTCATATACATGCATCATCATGTATGAATCAAAAACATTTACTACGTTTTATCAAGAAAACAATTCGTACTAAATCAGATGTTTATGTATGTGAAGATCCAAAAACTAAAAAGCCTATGACATTAAGTGAAGTAAGTCATAGGATTATTACCTATTCTGTCTGTTCTATGTCTTTATAAGTAAATTGTTATAAGTTAGTGTAATTGTAATCAATAAATTAATATTCTGTTCATTAGTTTGTATAGATTTGTTCAATATGGAAATAATTTTTGTAACGGATTAAGATTAACCGTATAATTAAGAAACATTGGGTTTTTTTGTGCGTGTGTCAGAGATCTGTTTTGTAGACTCCTGAACTACAACAAATCTGCAAGCATTGGTCACGTATTTTGTTGAGATTAAATACAGTGTATTAGGTGATAAGTTAATAATAATGTGGATCTTTATCTACTCATGTATTAAGTATTCATAACCGTCACCTAACTTAATGTACAACGTTGTCCGGTGTAGGAATGAGTTGGAACAAAACTAGTGATCGGAATACTAAAATGTAGTACCAGTCCATGAAGTTAGTGACTGTTGAGTTAAGTCATATTAGTAGGTTCAGACTATCTGAATGGAATTCACTTGATTATCGGGATCGGTGTTTGGAGGTATTGGCTGACAATTCACAGTCGGTCGTGATAGAGCATATATAATCATTGTTTACCTTATCTTAGGTTATAAGTTTCAAAAATAGTTTAATACCTTTCGTAAATAAATTCATTCTTTTCGAATAATATTCAGTACACCCAATATTTTTGCTGTCAGTGATATTATTCTTAATAATAAGACATACTACGGCTTTGGTATTCAGTTCGTAATCAGTATTACATTAGACTGCATATACAAGTTTACTTTCTGTCAACGGTACATTTCAGTGAGTAATTTGTTAGAGTTCATCCACATGTTTATTTTAAAATGTAATTTTTAAAAAATTAATTGAAGTGATTTTTACATTTAATTTGCTTATTAAACATAAGTAGATTTACGGATACAATAACGCTTTTGTTTACAACTACAAACCTTCTGAATATTTTTAAGATGTCGTCAAATCTGGGAAATTTCTATATTTCTGAAATAATTATCGACAGTGTAAATGATTTATCCCGCTATTTTTATGCATTTCGTTAAGAACAACTGATGTAAACCTTGAAAATATTATATTCTTATTTACGCCAGTAAACGGTTGTCTTTCTGTGTGAATACTGGAGATATCTGATTGTTAAAACACTAGTAAGTGAAAAAGATTGTAATAGGTTGTAAATAGAATATATACATATATAACTAAAGTGGTCTACCGACTTACCAATTGGACAGTCAACATTGCTACCATGTATCTTCAACAAATTCTTAACCTAATGGTTTACTAACAGTGATTTCTCCTGTTTGCTACATGTAATCTAAATGTAGGTTGGTTAAAACATTCTATATTGTTACTAATTTAGTAAATGATAGCTATTCATTGTTATAGATTAAGTATTGTCTTTTAAAAATTCTACAAATTAGAGACTGGAGAGACTGTATCTACCCAGTCGTAAAATAAATTATGTTGCACTTTAATGTCGAGGTGTTCTTGTGAATTCCTACCGATTCTTCTAAATGATTTGTTATTACGTATGTTTTTTTTAAAATGCAGTGAATGTACTTTAAGTTACGTTGATTTCCCATATGAATAAAATTTCGAATAATTATTTGAATGTTCCATTGTTTACGAGGTCAAACTTATTATCAAACATTCAGTCAATTGGGTGTTACTCAAATTTATTTGTTAAAAAAAGTCGAACCAGATACATTATATGCTAAAAAGTCAAAATTATTGTGTACTTTCAAATAACTGGGCGTTTCTCATATTTTGTTTTATATATGAGGAATATATAAGTAGGAAGTTGCTTGAATAAATTCTCATAAGGTAGAAAGTACTTACATTTTATTTAATATTGTTCAATATCTGCAGAATTATGCACTGGATTAGTAGGATAATAGCAAACAGAAACTTTTTAGATAGTGATTAATTATTCTCTCCTTCTCCATCTTACAATATCTTATGTCACACCTAACCTGTGACTGTAAAAGTCATTTATTTGATCGGAAAAATATGGTATGCAACAGTATATACATTTCTAACCAATATATAACAGTATGAAAATAATTGAAACTGATATGAGTCTAGTTATTATAATATAAACTACTCGGTATAAAATGTTCAAATTATGTAAAAATATGGATTAAAATAGGAATTACTGGAATTTTTATTTTATCAACAGATGACTGTATTAATAAGTTAGATACATTCATGATTATTCAATTTTTATGATTAATTTTTAACTGGAGATTATCGACTGATGAACACTGAAGTGACATCTAGTAAACTAATAATTGTACATTTCATACAATTCATCAAGCTATTTGCTCTAAAAATAGTGATTTAATAAAACAGGAATGTTGTGGATTGTACGCTTTAACAAAATGTTTTCTATTCACTGGTATAGCTGGCGCGTTCATTTATGTAGTTGGTAATACCAAGTGTTTTGTTTCTAATTACATCTTACATCATTTTGTCTTTTAAACTCATTGTATATGTCAAGGTAAATGATATTTATGCACTATTAGGTGTAAAGTTTGAGACATGTTCCATCCTTATGGGTTTTAGCAGCCGAATTGTATCATTAGCATTTCATACGGGATTGATGTTCATAACATAAAGTACATAAGTGTTTACTTCAGTGATGAGTAAACTTCCTTAATCAGGGGTCACATCAATGCAGATACGACGTACGTCCTCAAAGGTTTCGTACACACAAAATAACATTAAGACGATATTTTGTTTGTATTTTTTTAAAAAAATACTGAATTATTATCTCAGCTTTTTATACATCTTAATTTCCTGTTAACGCTAGCGAGGAAATTACTTGTCTGACCGATTTTCTTGAAACATTCTACATTCACCTTCAATTATAACAATTTCTTTTTTTTCGTTGATTTCTGAAAAATATTTCTGAATAAAATCAAAATTTTCTATAAAGAGATAAAGTAGTTCTGAAGTCATTTAATGCAACCAAATGTGATTTAAATAAGTACGCTAGTGGTTCGTTTATCTAGTTTCATTTTTTAAGTAATTGAGAACAATATTAGCCAACTATAAGTATCGTTTACTTATTCTGTTTTGAAATGATATAACACTTGACAAATAATAATTAGGACATTGTATAGACTTATTTTAATTCAATTACAGAATAGCTGTCATAGTAGGGTTATCTAACATACAACACGATAAACCACACTGTATAGCTAAGGTTAGGTCTATGTTAACGAGATTATTCTTTTTCTACACTTTACATACATGTAGTTAGTTCACTGCTCTGACCACGGATATTTAGAGCACAATGTTAATGTAAAATATCATGTCTCCTGAGAACATTTTCAAATCATTTTACTCCTGATTACTTTGATTACATTTCTCGCTAAGGATGGTTTGCTTACTCGTAACTATACTTATTTATTGAGTTGAATTATTCTTTTTATTATAATTTATTTTGCATATCTAAAACACATTGTTTTCACATTGAGTGCAAGAAATATCACACTAGATGTGTCGACAAAATTATTGATCGTTCGTTTTTTTCTTTATTGAATTGTAATTGTTTTATTTGTTGTTTCATGTTTTTATCCTACAGTTGGTTGATAAAATTGGAATTACACTGTATGATTTAAATATTGACAATTTGGATGTTCACGCTGTAAGTCCAAGGTTCAACATATTTAAAAGTTATTGTCTTGCATATTTTGCAATATACTGGAAGGAGATTGTACTTTTTTATTAAAAAATATTTAAAATTTATAGTTGGATTTTAGGTGGAAATGTTTGGTTTATAAACTGCCTCATTGGAGTGTCTTCAATGAGTATATAGTTGTTTGAGTGACGAAAACATTTAACTGTTACTATTAAATTAATGGATGTTATCACATCTACGCTTTAAAATGATTTATCAACATATATCTATGCAAATGTTACTTCTGAATATAGTTAGTTAGTGAGTCAGTCAGCCGTCATCAACATATAAATTGACAATTAAGCCATAGTTCACTAAAATGCAATGCACTGAAAATATATCAAGAACAGTTTATCAAGTTATTTATTTTTATAAATTTTAATCATAGTGATGAGTAATTGACTCTGAATGACTTCAGCTGAGTTGGACTTGCTACTGATTAGCCAGTAACCAACTATATGAACACAATTTGCAAATATCTTAAGACTGAAAGATTACAAATTACACAGATTATCAGTTAACTGTGGCGCATTCTTTCTCTCATTCCTATCAGAATAATAGAGTTCGAAAATGAATAAATCAGGAGAAAAAAATTTTAAAAAATGACTTTTCAACCAAGATTTAAAATAAAAGATCGGATATAACTGCTTTGTTGTAATTCATATTGTTCCGTTTAATTCTGACTCTAACTATAAATGACAATTATTACGTGGACTTAAACCTAAAAGTTCTCGTCTACCTTCATAGATCAAATCGACAGTTGATAAATTAACAGATTAATACCGTGTCTAGATCCTCCTCCTTTAACTATTATTCAGCTTGCTACTATGTCAGCCAATATTGTTCATCAGGATAGATGATGTCTGGAGGTCTGTAGCACCTACTCTAACCATCTCAGTTGATGTACGTTTATGGTTTTATCAATCGATTTTCTATTCTACCATAGTGACGTACACCTAACCGCATCGATGTAACGTGTGAACAAATATTTTTAACCTATGTATATCTTCTGCTTTCATAAGTCATATTTCACGGCCTTAAAGAGTTTCGACGATTTTAATTTTAGTGTAGTATAAAAAACGTACGTGAATAAGTCGTGTTACTTGATTTATAATTTATAAGATGACAGGTTTTTACGAAGGCCGTATAAATCCATAACTTATTATCCTATCTCATTCGCAGTCTTCATTCTTTATCACTATTCCAGTTTATCCTTTATTTATAAAATCGTATGAAATCGAATTTTTAGTTAATTTATCGTATAAATACGCCCACTTATATCATAAAACCATTATTACTATGATATTTACTAAGCTGAATATAATAGCACCGTATTTGTAGGTTTTTTAGGATTTCAAGTTGCTCACCTTGTTATTTATAGTTTATGAATTCATAGTGTTGTTAAATAACTAAAATAAAGGTTCGTCGATTGTATAGATAATATTGCTGTGTATAATTTACACTAAAACGACGGCATATGTGTGCTAGTTGTGTATGCGTCATTTAAAAGTATCATTCTACTATGAAGTATATGGTTACACGTTTTTAAATCACAATTTTTTGGCTTTCATAACAAAATTAGGAATTTGTCTCATTGTGAGAAGGAATTTGAATTATTCAATTGCTAATATTTTAAACTGAATTTTGATCGGTCTTTGTTGGGAGACGTGTGCATTCTGCGTAGATTACCTCGATGTAGGCACTTAATATTTAATCAAAAGTTTTTTCTATAGAATAGATAGATTATTGTTACCTGGAAAGTATGTTTTTCTATATTTAGCACTCGTTAACTGCATTTCACCGGGACTCAAACTTAGTATATTTCACTTATACGTTATCCACCGAATTCAAATAGTCATGGACTTGTTCAAGAGGATGATATTTTTTATTTGCATGAGTAAGGCTTTGAACTGTCCTGTAGTTGATATTTTTGATTGAATTTTGATTAGTTTTTGTTGGCTAACGTGCATCTTGTGCGGATTGCCGTTACATAGCCACTACTAGCTACAATCCACCTGTTCTTTAAAAACATTGAAAACATTGACTAAACTAAACATATCCATTCACTGTTCATCAATTTTCTCCGCCATATTAATTCATCCGAATGTCGATTACACTCATGTTTGATTATTTGCTTACTACTTTTTTTATTGATTTGCAATGACACCAATAATTAGAAGATTTGTTTTCAACTACGTGAATTATACTACTCTCGTAACAAGAGTAGTACTAATACATACATGTTAACCTGACAGCTATGTAGCTTATCTGAAATAAATAAATACTTAAGCAAAACTTGTTAACAATTGAACTTAATTATTTGAGTTGCCTTAAATCCTTTGTACTAAGTTAGTGATGATTGTTGGTGCAATAAAATTAAGAAGATAATGAACGTCTGCTTTCCTAAGTGATATGTGGATGTGTTATTGTTTTGTAGATAACTCACTATTTGTAGAGTATAGGAACTGGTGAATAGACCCAAGGTTCATTATATGTAAATATATAATAAAACATTCATTTGACAGAAAAATTATATATTACTTGACTGAGTTTTTTACTTTTTGTCTCATATATACTAATCCCCAAACGAAATGTATCAGTTGATGGAACCCTGAACCATTAGTCATATGTCAGCCTATTTCTTCTAATGTTAAATCTCATCCCGTTAGCCTAACTCATAACTATCTTTTTGGATAGTTTTCAATAGAAAATCACCGGTCTGTGATGCTAAAACCTAACTATTAGATTCACTTATTGTTCCGCTTGATATCAACTTGATGAATATTTTCAGTTTTAATTGAAGAATTGAATTTGTCAACTGACATTGTCTTTCAAATCAAATGAACGCACATGTTCAAAACTTGTTTCAAGTTACCTATTACATCTATAACGTAATGATAAAGTGCTGAGTCATTTAAACTCAGTGAGCCCTAAGGAGGTTCAACCGTGTAGAAGTTTAGACAAATATCACCAATGGCAGTGAGTATTATTAGTGTAATATAGCTTACCTACAAAAGATAGGTATGTAAACCATTAGATACTGAATCAGTATTATATTAAAAATTCATTTAATATTCAAGCAACTATTTAGTTGTAAAAAGGATCAAACTCCCTTCAGTTAATCAATTTCAAGTTATTTAGTACACACCAATTTATGTTACGATTTTTCTAGTTTCTAGGTGAACTGTTCAAGAAAGAGCTCTATTGGAGTCACTTGCATATAACTAAAATGTAGTGTGAAACTACAAACAAAACATACTTTTGAGTCAAAAAATAGATTAGATGTAAATTTTTATAAAAAAGAAAGGATGAAATTCGAAACCATCTGAAAGTTGGAAGCATTAGATAACTGCTTCAAGTGATAAAAATCTTTAAGATCTTGAAAGTCATCTCTTGTAAAATCAATAAAATTTAAAGCTTTAGTAAGTAATTAGTGAAAGTGCTGTAATATATTAACATCGTACTTAGAATTGCTTTAGATTCGAATAACATTTTTCCACTTCAGTTTTTCCTTACAGACTCCGCATTATAATTAAACTGAAGCATTAGTGTAGTTACTTGTTATGACCACTTGCTCCCTTTTACAACGAAATAAGGTTAGTATATCTCGATGCAAAATAGCAGACAAGATCGCAGATGAGGGTTTAGTGTATACCACAAACAGACTCCACAACATTTACAATCACTTACCCAATATAACTATTAAAAGAATGCATGGTTTACGTATCTGGTCAATAATCAACTTCAAACACTTCGAACTAAGCAGTACTTGACAAAAATCAATCCGTTAATTCATTTTAAGACATCAATGGATTCAACTGCTTTAAATAAGAAACATAACAAAGTTACTAGATCATAAATTTGCTGATTCTCAACACTACTTAAATAGATATATGGTTTACAGTAATAAAATGAAACTAATCGAGTAATAACTATCTCGGAAGTGATTATTAAAATAACTTCTAATAGTTAACTGGGTAATTAGAAGGAGGACATGTTAATAAGCAAAGTAATTATTTGTAAAATTAAAAACGTAATTAGGCAGTTGTCAGATTGCATAATATGTAATAAAGGAGTTAACAAAATACTCTGTCAAGAGGTTAATTTTAAAGTAGTTACCTAAAAATCAGGAGACTGATACTAACATAGTGTAAAAACACCAAAATGAAAGAAATTTAGAAAGTTTTGAAAGACGTTTGTATTCAAGCTCAGCTATAAACTACTTCATTATCTCTGACCAAGGTGGAAGGAAAGGTTTTATTCTGACAATTGATCACAGTGAAGACTGCCAATTCGTTTTGAATATTGGTGAAGCTAGGAACTATTGCTTTTTCATTATTCTAGAGTTAATAAAGCTTTAATTTTTCTTCCGATAAATCATTTTTCTGAGAACCAGTGATCTGTAAACACGATATCACCTACATTAACCGAAGATTGCAACCACCGATCACTACAATTATCGTAAATCACTTTCATCTGGGTAAAAAATTCCAGTTTCATTCTTTTTTGACCTTAGTGGTTGCACGTCTCCATGTTTTAAATACCATGAAAGCATTTTAAAAATTTTCAAATCTAAAAACTAATAGTAATCGCTTCATATTTTACCTATATAAATATGCCTATATACAAAATAATAGCATATCATGTGGTGAATAAGTGTTTCTCTCTTTTTAATTTTTTATTAAATGTCTAGCTCGTCATTCTTTGTTACACTATTTCCTAATTTTTTTTACTTCTGAAAAATGACGATTGGTCCGGTTTTTATTATTAAGTCACATGCTTTGGTCTACACTAAATCGTAGACATTACTGTCGAACTAAACGTATTATTGGTATTTAAACAAGACATACTACTGTTTATTAGTTTGACAGTTTTTCTTAGCAAATCATGTGTTTATTGTCTGACTCCTCTGACAGATATAATTAGCAAATCAAATATGATCGTGATGCGAATGTGACTAGAAACAACTTAATTTTGTGGACGAGACTATTAGGTGTAGCTGTTTATTGTTGTTCATCCCTCACTGAAGTTTGTTCAGTCGCATAGTGATGTTAATTTTCATTACGAAGAGGTTTGTTGCTCTCACCTTAGCTAGTGTACTGGGACTGAAGAAAATGATTCATGCAATATTAATATAAATAATTATTATTCCTTTTTTTGCCTGTCACTGTTATCATCTACATAGTAGTTTAAGTGATTATTTTTCCAGGTTTTTTTGCTCTAATGCATAACTATTTTTGTTAACCATAAGGATCGTAACACTTTTCATCGATTCGATAAATTCAACGCTAAATACAATCCCATTGGTCAAAGTCAACTACGTGAAGTGTTTTTGAAGACGGACAACTACATTAAAGGCGTTTTCTTTGCACATGTTCTGAAGGTAAATTTGTTTTTATTATTATCCTATCGTCTGTTTAGTTTTTACTCATTCACGTTAAATTTATTCAAATAAATAATTAGTAACACTTTTGTATTTGTAGAGATAATACTTATCTTGTATAACACGATTACTATAAGATAATCTTAATAATATGCTCTATTTGTTGAATAGATTTTATCATAATTTTTTTAAACACAAACCTATTACTGTTGGGGATGTTAGATCCCCAGAACTCACTTGGTAATTGCCTTAATTTTATAATTTTATTTTGGGAATTTAAATTTCCTTGTTTTCGCGCCAAAAGCACACTTTTCACCTTCATGTCGTGTTTCTCACTTGGGAGAATTTTTAACGCTATTGGTCCGTTGTGTATTTTTAGTATGCTATTTTTGCAACGCTTCTCAAGGACAGTTTTATGCTGTATATATACGTTCGATTTGTGTCTGTTAGGATTTACTCGTGCTTCTGGCTTACGGAATATACTTTCCCGTTCCAGGCTTGGACTTCTTCCTCTAGTTAGGGGGGCTGGGACGCATCGAATAGCTAGCTTATTGGTCTACGGTCACCAGTCTTTGTTCCGTGAACTCGTAATAGTTTCCAACCTAGCAATTACTCATCAAATAAATACCAACATGATATACCATTGAAAGTAGTGTGATAATATTATACTAAATTAAGAGAAACTTTCTTTTAAGTTATAATTTTTCACGTAAGAGGCGAAGGGAAATTGTATCAAAAGGCAATAATTTGAAACCTTGAATACCACATCTTGAATTCTCGACTCTTTTCCAATTTCACCTTATAGGTCACAAACACTTGGATTTGGTAACCATTAAATTGTCCATTTTATGGTAATTTCTATGGTTGGATTTATACATATATATAACATACTTTTTATGCTTTGATATCATTCCGTTAGTGTTTCACCATTAACCCAGATAACCTCGTAGAGTCCAATATGGCGAAGTTAATATGTTGACTTAGGTCTAGTGTATTTATCTCTTTGATGTTTTATTGTTCTATCGTTCTTCTTCCTATGATTTGCAGTACCAGTGACTGCTCAACGACACTTCAAACAATAACTTCGTTCTATTCCTCGACTCAACTTCTGCAAACCACAAATATTGAAAGAAACATTTGTTTGGTAAAGATGACAGTAGTATCAAGTATATTTGAGTTTATTCAGTTGTATACTGATTAAGTGATTGTTAGATACAGAAATTGTTAATCTTAATAGTTAGCATTTAAATATGAAATTAAAGGATATTAATTAATATCATAAGGATAAATTGAAAATTAAATGAACAGACCTTACAGTGAGTGACTTATTATTGAACAGAAATTGTCTTACATATCAACATGTAGATTTTATGTTTAATGTCTTTTTTAAGGTAATTAGCATTTTTAACGTCATTTTATGATCATTACTTTACTTTGGTCCATGATCTTTCATAACGCTTCATTCATTGTCTGAGTTGGATAGCTGTCTCACCCCCGAAACGGATTGGTCTTCACTGATCACGACTTCTCTCTAGAAATCCAGGATTTCGATCTTGAAGCTGGTCACCAGTGTGCACATGATTATTATCAGTATGGGGATTTGTGAAAATTGCAGTATTTTCAAAGTTGAATTCACGAGTCCACCATCGGAAACCTGGAAGCGCTGGATAACCGTTCCATCCTAGTATAGGACTCCTTAACAGTGCGTATCCACGATCTCACACACATGACTGGGGCCCAGGATTCTTGGGTCTCGTGTGCGAACACCTAAGCTCTAGACCATTGAGCCAGCATTCAACTACAATCTCCGCAAATCCTCGTTATGATAATAAATATTATTGTGATCATGAACCGATTGATGTTAGACCACCATTGAAACCTGGAAGCACTGAATGACCGTTTCGTCCTATTGTGCGCATCCACGATCCTGCTCGCGGTATTCGAACCCAGGGCCTTCACTCTCGCGCGCGAACGCGAGACTGATAATAAATATTATATTTTACTGTTGAAATTTCATGTCAGTTATTTAATCGAATAAACTTGATTTGTGTTGCATTACACGATTGTCTCATCTTCGTTTAGTTCTCCTTTTGAATAATTTATACTTTCAATCATTTTCATATTGAAAATTCCAATCATAAAGTGTCCCAGTCATAATTTCAATGTTAATCCTTATTGAATTAGAAAGTTACAATTTAAATTCGTTAGTACTGTCAATAATTATTGTTACGACTTTAATGTTTTTCACAATTAATCGTCAGTCAGTTCAGAGGTCTGAGTCAAATGACTGTTGATTGATTTGACTTTAACCTTTGGTTGGTATAACTGTATTGTTATTTTATTTGTAAAAGATTTTACGTTAATACTTGTCGATTTATTCGATTGGATAGTTTCTCTTTTAAATTATTTAATAAATATTATGATAGTGCATTTGATCATTAAACTAATTCTATTATATTGACATTCAAGCGCATTATTATTACGAATCTATCGAGTTCACATACTGGTTTATTTAGTGAATCTATAGTTTCTACCATTTGACTGATTAAACATTTGATAGTTTTTCAACTGGTTGGATTCAAATGTGTTTTGTTTTACACTAATCTTTGGCTTTTTAAATATATCTCCTTTGTTGGTTGAGTTTATGGAGATATAAACTACCATGCAAATTTTGGTATTACTGTCTGCTAAAATGAACTGTTTATCTCTATAAGTAGACTATTTTAGTTAGTTCACTGTAGTTATCTTTCTGTGCCTGTCATAGTTTCATGACTAACGATAATAATAATAATATCACAGTGGTAATGTTTTAACATTTCTCTGTAATCATTCTGCCTCTTTTTTCCTTTCCTCAAATATCAGGAAGTGTTCTATGACTTTTCTGAATCGAAGTATCAAAATGCTGAACCACGTCTTTCAATTTATGGTAGATCTATCAATGAATGGGATAATTTGGCTAAATGGGCTATCGATTGTAAAGTTTATTCTGATAATATACGTTGGTTGATTCAAGTGCCTCGTCTTTTCGATGTTTATCACGCCAAAGGATCAATGAAATACTTCCAAGTAAGTTCATATATTTACACATTCTTAATACACCTATTAGTGCCCCGTGATCTGACTCCTGCTTGATCGGACAAATGGTCGTTATTGAATGATTGCTGTCGAAATATACTTCTTAATTTTTCTCGTATATTATTATCGACTTAAATTGTGTTATTGAATAACGGAATTATATAAGCCAAATACGAGAATTGATTTCGAATACATATATTTTGTACACTCACTGATCTGGACAGGCAATCAGAGGGACGAAGAGAAGGAAAAGAAGCCAGCGAAGCAAAATGACGCAGAGTGGAGAAGGCGTGTGAGCCAACTCAATTTAACCCAGCGTTAATCATTATTTATAGTCACACAAAAATAAGCTACAGATATGTGATGAGTAGGATAAGAAGTGTACACACATAAGCTCATATAAATACAGTCAGGCTTAATAAGTGAATTAATTAACAAGGTCAAAACGTGACTCAAGAAGAATCGATAAATTGGCCTGTTCAGAAGCTAGAATAAGCTATGTGGGCTTAACATAATAATCGAAGTCAATAACAATGACTACGAGCTTTTTAGGAGCAGTCAAAATGTTCCACTATGTTATTGACATAGTTTAGTTTTTTAAACAAAAAATTATGTGAAAAAGTTTTCAGTGAAAAAAAACATTGAAAGTAGTTAAATTCCTGAAATCGAGTTGAGATAAAATAATTCAATATGTTTACCTTTTCCTATAATCAAATTGTTTCTATTACTTAAATTCACCGATTTCCTATTAGTAATGATTCGTACTTTTAGCAAAATGTAGGTCATTGTTTTTTTCTTATATTTTAATACAAGTTGGATTAAATTGACCAGTTGATCATCAGCTTGCTGGTGAATAGTTCATATTACTTTCTGGAACATGTTGGCAAAGAGGTTAAATCGATAATGTTTTGTAAAACAGACAGTTCCCTTTTATTCGTTGTTTACTTTCCTTGAGAAATCATTTTGGAGTCTTTCAATAATTGAAAATAGTATTAAAATATCATTGAAATGCATTAGATTTTTAGTTTTATTTCTCAGTTTTATGAAGTGAGTATATGAAAACATATGAAAAGCACCAACTCAAGTATTTTGACTGATGTTTATCACCTCAGAAATTTTAATGTATCAGACTCCTCATTAAGGTTTGAAGACTATGTATTCTATTCTGTTCTTTTGTGGATGGTGAAATGTTGATTTACCAATGAGATAAACAATCGATCACGTATACAATAAAATAATAAGTAATTTATTTAAATATTTGTTTTTGAAATACATTGTTTTGAAATACATACACTCAGAATCAGTTTGAATTGACTTTTTGGAAGGAGAATAGAGTTTGTAATAAGATTACAACTACTCGGTGCTTATTATATTGAAGTGAGCGGAAATTCTAGTTGGGAAAGCCAATACATTGTTGAATACAAAATTACAGATAGGTTCCGTTATATATGAAAACCATGCATTAAATACATTACTTGCACATCTTCCTTCAATTGTCCTTTACATACGTCATTATTCTTTCAGTTATGTTGTTGTTACAATTGACCCCTATTTACATTTCTGTTGTCTTTAATTCAATCCGCTCAATCTTCTCCTGGCAGGCATTTTACTTCTGACTGGTGTTACATACTACCTATATTTGTCAACATACGTGGCACACACTACAAAATTTCTGTTTACAATACAATAAAATCATAAAAGTGTTTTAGTTTTGTTATTGCTACTAGAATTGTTAAACAGCCAACTTTATTGACCAATTTTTACTCATATCAAACAGAAAAATGTTGTGTTAAGTAAACAATAATGATAAGCGAAAGCTATAAATTCTAGCTGTTATGTAACACAGAAAATGATCTTTGAATTTAAATATTCAGAATTCTTTTCATCGCTTCATTCCAATAAAAATGTATGTAATTCCATTTTCTACAATATTATATATCTAAAGTTAACTGAATCGTTGAATTTTAAGTCAGCAAAACTCAGTTTACTATGTATGGTATTTTTTTAGAATAATGTTTTAGTTTTCTTCATAATTCTTTTCATTTCAGGATATTATCACAAACGTCTTTCAACCATTGTTCGAGGTAACTGTCAATCCTAAATCCCATCCTGAACTACATGCATTTCTACAATATGTAACTGGTTTTGATTCAGTGGATGATGAATCAAAATCTGATAAAGTTGTATTCAATGCATCAACTCCTACACCGGATGTGTATGATTTAAATGAGAATCCTCCATACTCATATTATATTTTTTATATGTTTGCTAATATATCTCAATTAAATCAACTGAGAAGGTGAGCACTTTTCTTAAAATGTATTTTTGGGAATGATGGTTAGTAGTGAGAAGTTATATTTGTTACGTTATGTTTATGCAAGTATGCAGTCAGTTTATGAAACTGACTGCATTGATTCGACTATCTTAAATCCAGTTACATTTTTATATAAATAATTCTTATATAGTTTAGGCGATTTGTGGAGATTGTTGAATTTTCGCGGTTTACATTATCGACTGATTTTAGTTCAATATTTATTGAAAATTAGAAAACACTGGATAGCTGTTTTATTATAGTATCACTATATCATGAATTTATTGAAGTTCAACTTGCACACCACTGAATGCTGGTTTAAGCGTTTGCACTTGAGACAAAAGGGCTTGGATTCAATCTCAAAGTTGAGATAGCTGTCCAGTGTTTTCTGTTATTCAAATTATTATCTAAGTAAAAATCACTCACTGACGGGATTAGTATACTAATTGTTCAGTTATGGGAGTCAGTTCATGTTTAAGGTCATCATGTGTATACACTATTATTAAATTGAAATTATTTATAGATTGAAAATAGTTATTCATTTTATCTCGCCAATACCAACGAGATAGTCCTTTCGATTTATCTGTAAACAACCTATGAATAACGTTGAATCGATTGTGTCATGATGATGCAAATTATCACGCAAAATAGAACATAACTACTGTAAACTTAATTCTGAAAAACAAAACAAAAAATTAAACAAAAATAAACAGAACTAATAAAACAAAATAGACTTATTAGAATAATATGAATTCATTCATTTTGTAGATTAGCCTTCAACTGCTTGAAAATTGGAAATGATAGTATTAATTAAACAAAGATGGATAGTGGTTATCAGTGGAATCGAGGACGTGCGATTCGTCCTATTTTGGGACTCGTCAGCTGGATGTACCTGCATCGCAGAGTTGATGTTCACTCTGGGACTCGAATCCAGTACCGTTCCCTTCAAACGCCATCGCGTTATCCACTTAGCTACTGAGTCCTGATAGCCATCTACTTGTGCACTGCTAGCCACTATCCATCTTTGCATAAAAAGCTTGTTACTTAAGGCTTTATCAAGGCAATCCGCACAGGATGCGCATATGCCAACATGAGATCGATCAATTGCAGTCCTAAATAACAATGGGAAGATACAAGTAGAACAACACCAAGTGGTTAATATTAATTATTCAGAAACAAGATGGTTTACATACTCTATATAAAAAATATTCTTATTAATGAACAATAATAAACCAACAATAAATATGGGAGAATCCTAAAAGATTTTCATGTGTTTGAATAATTCTTTGCTTAATAGTGTGAACATTCAAAAGAAAATTTTAAGAACGACTAGGGATAGTTTACTGATAAAATTGATACAAAAATTCTTAATTCGAAGACCAATTAATAATGCACAGATATGTGATTTCCTATACGGGAGCGAATCTAAAAACTTCCAGGTTTCTCTGGATAAACTATTGAATCAACTTACTTGATTCACAATGTAGCTCGATGATCATCCTATATAATCTTTGATAACTGTCTCACTCTTAACATATTCATACTTCACTGATTAATGATTTCTAAATGGACTTCAGGAATCCGTTTTCTCAATAATCATTAGTAGGCATACTATTATCGTTTATGCAGAGAATTTGTGTCAATCATTCAATTTGAGACTATTTTTCATCATCGTCTATGATGGACTGTTTGGATAAGAATTATGTATTGATTTCTAACGTCCAAATGTTAAATCGAGGTAATACTTACATTTTCCCGAATACCCATTTTCTACTGTCATATATTCAGTAGTTTAAAAGTGCACTTTAAATTTGTCTTTCTGTTTGTCCACTAGCGTGAGTTAAAATTTTGATCTAGAATTATTTTATTTGCGGACCTTGATATAGAATTGTGTGTCCATTAATTTCGGTGTTAAATTTCTTCCGGCATGAAATCAGAATTCATTCACTGTGCATACACTTTTTACTGGTGTTGTTTTGTCGGAGTGGAATTAACATTATCACCTCAAATGATGATATCACTTATATTTTTTTGCTTCAAAAGGACAGTTATCCTACGATTTTTGAAAGCAACCTGTGGTGATAGGTGTGATCATAAATTTCTAAAAATTGTCCTATTGTTCCTGTAATCTCTTTTTACCTAATCCCTGGTTAATCATTATTCATGGGAATTCAATTGATAACCGTTCAAAACATCGGTCAGGAGTGCAACAATCAAGTAGTTTTTTGGGCTGACTGTATCTTATAGTCGTCGAATTATAACAATAAGTTCTGTTTACATCATTGTTTTTAGGTTTAATAAAACATAATTTTAACGTAACATTTGTTAGCCTATCGGCAATCAATTCATGGCATTTCTTTTCATTAACTATTCATGTTTTCTTATACAACTAGTTCGTAATGTTGCTTTTTTCATCCTATAAGCAGAGTATATTAATTTAGTCATGTTCTTATGTTTTTCTTGTTGTGTGTTTGCAATTCTTTTTCAGCCATCGTGGCTTAAATACATTCTCATTTAGACCTCATTGTGGTGAAGCAGGTAATATTAATCATTTGGTTACTTGTTTCCTGTTGGCTGAAAGTATCAATCATGGTTTGTTGTTACGTAAAGCTCCTGTTCTACAATATCTTTACTTTATTGCTCAGGTAAAATGTTTAATACCGTTTTCTTTTCGACAAACATTTATTTGTTTATCATGAATGATGTGAGTTAGTAGATCATGTAAACATTTTATGTTTACAGTGCATCTTATACTTATGTAGTTATTTACCCATTTTGCAGTTCTAGAAACTGATGAAATTGTTTTAAGATTTTTACTGGTGATTGTGGTATAGAAGTTTAAAAATCCCCATAGAATATATTCAAAAATAAAGAATATTTGAGCGAACAATTGTTTTCAATAACTTCATCATAAGATTCTACAGTTATAAGTCCATAGTTATGATATTTTACAAAGGCCAAAAATAAGGCATGTATTAATGAATTTGACAATGTTATGTGTCAAAAATGGTGAACGTTTGCATCTGTTACGATATATATACTCCAAAATTCTATTATTTGCAAATTAGGAATGTCATTCAATAAAGGTCAGGATGATTTAGAGTAAATTGTCTAGTCACAATAAGTAGAATAGTATTATAGCAAAAATGGAAATTTTGATTGAGATCATGAACCGATTGATGTTAGACCACCACTGAAAACCTGGAAGCACTGGACAGCTATTTTGCCTCATTGCGGGACTCCTCAGCAGTGCGCATTCACGACTCCGCTCGCGCGCAAACACCTAACCTGCTGGACCACTGAGCCCCGGTGTCCAGTGATGTTAATGTCTGACCTCAACCAATCCACGGAGTTGCGCAACCATCTTCCATTGTACTGAAGTAGACACCTGTTTCTACCCGACACGGATTAGCTCCACTGGTCACAGCTTCTCACCAGAACTCCGAGTCCCACAATAGGACTAAACGGCGATCCAGTGCTTCTAGGTTTTCAATGGTGGTCTAGCGTCAATCGGTTCACGATCTCAATCAAAACTTAATAATCTCCACAACCCCTATAATGAAAAAAGAAAATGCGAAATTGTGTGAATAAGATGCATAGTAGGAGAATTTATTCTTATCAGTTTAGATTGTAATATAATCTGTAATAAAGGGGATGTTATCAAGGTAATTATGATTGCCCCCAAATACCCTGGTATGGTCGAGAGTGGGGTGGGCCCACCCTACCTCTCGAAATGCTCTCACACGGCCACGTGTATACAGCCTCTGCCAGGGAAGTCCTACTCACTGCCTTCTCGAGGTGGGGGTGTTGTTTACGAAAATGAGAGGACGAAAAGCGAATGTCCGGCGCTTCAACTGGATTTCAAACCAATGGTGCACATGGGCTCCAGTATCTTGCGGGAACAAAAGGCGTATGAACCAATCGTTGGTCACCGGCTACCATGGGTATGCATCTCCTCACGATGCTCCCTTGCCTTGTGGGTTAGACCTTTAGGTCAAAGGCTCGGGGTGTGGCTCCCTATGAAAACCACCTGCTTCGGTCTGGGCACCCAGGCAGTATCACAGCCCCCACACACACAAATATGGTGTGGCGCATATTTATTTGATGCCCTCTTGTACCAATATTTATGTGTTGAAATAAATAAATAAAAATAAATAATTACCATAAACGAATTGGGAATGATGGATGTGAAGTTTGGGATAGAGGTAATTAAAAATAGAGGTGGGTAAAATGTTTATAATGTTCAGTTTAGGTATCCGGTGATCCAGTCGTGGACCAAGGTAAACATAGAGGCTGGATATACTTTTTCTGGATACATAAGTTTGGTTTTCTGGAGTTGATCCAGATGACTTCAGCTATGTATAGCAATCGTAATCTAGCTCCTTGAGGTAGATATTTTAGAACTTGATATAAAACAGAGAAAGCTTCCTCTATTTTGTTATAATGTTCACTATCTACCAAGTGTGAAAGAATAGTGCTGTTAATCGATGTGGCAACTCCTTTTCCCAACCATGCTGGTACATGTTCACGAACACGCAAGGATAAAGCCCTCTGAGTACGACCTATGTAACTAGCTCCACAGTTGAATTGATATACATATATGGAGGAGCCCATCTTCGGTAACCTATCCTTGATTAGTTGTGTGAGTATTGGTTTAGTTGAGAAAATTATGTGTAACTTAGCGGCGTGAAATGTCCTTTCGACAGATCTTTTGAGTCGACGTGTTAAAATATCACACGCTATGTCCCCTTCAAAGTCTAGTCTCAGATATAGGCTTTTTTTACTGACTGTGTCACAATTTCTTCCTTTTTTAGGACTTTCTACGAGGTACTTTTCAACGAAATTATCTGGATAGCCATGATTTCGTAGTGTTCTTTAGTATATCTATTTCGCCATCCACACTGTCTTCAGAAAATAATAACTTGATTCTGTGGTTGAAACATTTAATCAAATTTATTTTATATTAAAGAGGTGTGAAGCTTTGTAGTATACTCATTCACCCAATCAAAAAAAGAAACTTCATAACTGCATAATTTTCTTATACTGAAACTTACTAATTACTCTTATTAACCAAGTCATTAATATAAATAAATAATATATTTGTAATATCCCAATGAGTAGAAAATTAGATTTTCTACTCATTGGGATATTACAAATATATTATTTATTTATAACAATCTACCCAACGCTCAATTTATTCGAAATTATCAAATCAAACCTTGGTAATGATACATACAAGTCATGAATGGTCGAGTTCACCAAGTTCGAGGTAAGGAAGCTGTTGACCAAATAACATTAGGTAATCAATACCAAGCTAGATGCTTATTTTTGTTAGCCAAACCAAAAACTGTATGTTCTAAAATTGTATAATGCTCTAACACTTGAAATATTTATTTTAAAGAAATATGACTTATACATTTTACTAGTTAATCGCAGAATAATCGATTACATGATTATCAGAATAGATTTGTAGAGATCGTTGAGTTCTTATTGAGGTCATGAACCCATCAATTTTACATCATCATTGAAAGCCTGGAAGCACTTGACGGCCGTTTCGTCCCATTACAGGACCTTAGGTAGTGTACATCCACGACCGAAAGTCTCGGGTTTAAGTCCTGCGTGTGGGATCGTGCGTGCGCACTACTGAGGAGTCGTACACTTGGACGAAACGGCCGTTAAGTGCTTCCAGGTTCTCAGTGGTGGTCTAACAGTGATCGGTTTATGATCTCGACTGCATAACTGGCTAATACTAACTCAGTAAAATAGTCCAGTGATTACCTGTTGCCTATCGATGATTTGTCTTCATTTGATTTCTTTGAAATTCTTTCACGTAGCTGTCAGCCACAATTAAACTAAGGATGAAAGTCAACCTAGATTTTCCTGAAGACTTTTTCGTAAAATAGCCTATCGAGGATACCCACTCGGATGCAGAGTAAATGTTCGTTTTATTTTATCTGAAGTTAATTATATTTTAAAATTCTATCTGAATTTATAATAATTTTCTTTTATTAGTTAGTGAACCTATTCATGAGTTTTTTATCTATTCATTTTTTTTCTATAATGCCTCAAATCTTCAATAACAGATCGGAATAGCTATGTCACCTTTGAGTAATAATTCTTTGTTTTTGGATTATCATCGTAATCCATTGAATGACTTTTTAGCACGGGGTCTGTTTGTCAGTCTTAGCACTGATGACCCTTTACAATTTCATTTTACTAAAGAACCATTGATTGAAGAATATAGTATAGCTGCTCAAGTATGGAAATTCACATCTACTGATATGTGTGAATTAGCACGTAATAGTGTTTTGATGAGTGGTTTTTCTCCTCTGGTAAGTTATTATGATAATTATTATTATTTGTGTAAGATTATACATTTCCTTATCTGAATATCAATTGCACAGAAATAGTTCCATTTTTACGTTTTCTTTCATGAAAGTATAGAGGTATTGTAAAATTTTTAGTGGTATACTCATAAAATAGAGTATATAGATATATTTTGAGATGGTGGAGAAGATTTGTAGCTCAGGTGGATGATTTTGGTGGAGTTTTGTTTTCTGAGCTGGATGGTTTGGTCGTGAGGCTTTCATCGTTCTTCTGAACGACATCATCAGCACAAACGTCAAATAAAACAAAACTCCACCAAAATAGATATATTTTGTCATTAAGTCACATTTGTGGCACATTATATTTGGCAATCATTCATTTAGAAAGATATTTCAACATTTTCGATACCTTTTAAAATGAACTATATTGTAGTGATGTGTTTATCTTGTTTAACTTATGTAATTTCTAATATCCATATTTTGCAAACATTTTATCTTAGATTTAGGAGCTGAAGTTAAATATAGACTTTTTTCTTGGTTCTCAGGAAATAACTTTATTGTTCAGCTGGTAGGAAAATACTCTTTCTGGTGATCAGATTTTCAATTAACAGTATTCGAATAACTAAACATATTCCGAATTATTTCAAATTAGCGTATTTAGTTTAATTAATAAATTACTTCTGTATCCACAATTAAAAAAGATAGATCTTTCGAATTAGTATCAGTTATATTCCCTTTAAAATATCGTATTAACCAATTAAATTTGTCTTAGGTAAATGAGTTACTGAGATGCTTTTTAAACATGTTGATTGTAATAGTTTAATTACCAAACTTACCTTGGAGTGTGACGTTTGAGGGTGTAGGAGTAGGTTACAAGAACGGTAGGATCGTTCGAATAAGGGCGTGATATCAGTTTATCAAATAATTTATTATCAGGTTTGTTACGTCCTATGGCCCGTCACATTTCACGTGACAAAATCACCTATTGGAACACTGACTTACATGACTCTGTCCCTGTGCTAAACCAATGTCGCGTTAACCAGCTGACCATCTCTGAGTCCTTATTGGTCCTCGGTAAGGTAGATTCTCGCCCAACCCAGCCCGCTCAGTCAAGAACACAAATATCAGCCTCCGCTATACGAATCGTATATTTCTGACATGGTTTATATAAAATCAGACCAGACTGCATCACTCCATCAAATAAAAAATAATTATAGAAAATCAAGCCAAAAGTAGCTGTATGTGTGAGAGGCTAACTCATGAATCGGGAATGACTTAAGAATAGTAGACCGTATAATAATAGCCAACAGGTCAAATGAAAGTTTATGATAAGAGAAATGTAAATATATATAATCTAGTTAGTTAATAGTTATACAATAAGAAATATATATATATAATAGCAGTCCATAAATATTTCCCAAAAGTTACCCATAATTTTATCTTCTTCGGATACAACAAGGTTGTGGGTAGGTTAAGAGCACCTGGTCGGGGTTCGGGCGGTTATCATAATCACTGGTTGGAGGAAACATCGAGTCATAGCTGAAAATCGGTCGAAATGGCACAGATGGATTCAATCTCCATCTTCCTTTAGATCACGTGTTTTAAAATTTTCTCATGCATTATAACTTCCCGAATTCATATTTTCCTGAATTATAATGTCTCTCTTTATCGCCTTCTATTAACACCGATACTGTTACAACTTCTACTACTCTAATATTCTTGATAATTTTATCTAGCTGTGCTGTTATAGTGTGGGAGCTTTCTCTGATGGCCATATATTTCATGCTCTGCTTAGTTTGCAAATGAATGACTGACTAACAGTTTAATTATTTTATTTCCTAATTTGTTGTTGTTCTGTTACAGATTAAATCTCATTGGCTTGGACCTAATTATACACAAGAAGGTGTTATGGGTAATGATATAACTCGAAGTAATCTACCCAACATTCGCGTTGCTTATCGTTTTGAAACTTTAACACAAGAATTACGTTTGTTGTTAAATTCTGTGTTAGCGAGTCGAACTAGTGGATCTGTTTCACCTGGTAGTAATACAGTAATGCATTCTCCAAAAAAGAATCATATTTCAACAGATTCTAGTCGAATCGATCATTTAAAGAAATGATTATTCTTGATATAATATATATACAATGATTATCGATACTAATTAGCTGCTAGTAACACTTTTGTCTTCTTTTAAATGTGAATTCACTTATCTTAATTTGAATTCTTCTTTCTGAATATGTTTGTTCATGGTTTGTTATGAATTAAACAGTTGTAACACATTCTAACATTCATATAAATATCTACACTTCTTACAGATAAATATCATAACGTGGAAAGTAATTTTTCATCCACATATTCACATGATCTACATTTTTCTTTCTTTCTGATGTGCTTATTTTGATTTATTATTAATTAATTAAGAGTCTTAATATAAGTACCATTTCATGCAAAATATTTTATTATTATTATTTCCGGGAATAATTGTATCTCACTTACACTATTCATCATTTAATGATGATAATCCACTGTTTAAACTTTCTCTGCGTTTATCAATTCTGATGAAATGTTGTTAAGACCACATCTACAAGGAGAAATTCACTACATTGTTGATAATTTTAATTGTATCATTAAAGATAATAATTTGTGCGCGAATATACACACACACAAACGCACAAGTTGAATGCATTTACGGTAAAAGTGCAAATGTTTTAATACAGTGTTGATTAATCTGGTTAAAGATGTTTATGTTGCTTTTTAATTGTGTACGGTAACAAACCTTTATGTTATTATGTAATAAGAATGAACTTTGTAATATTATTAATGTCTGTCATGTGTTTTTTGTTTGAAATACACAATTATTTGTTCAATCAATGTTTATTTTAAAGATAATCATTTTAAGAATATTTTCTACTTACTCATTCGGTTTGATTATCTATCTAGAAAGTGAATTGGTTTATTTTTAGAATTGAAATATGTACGATATGATAGATATAATATAACTACTTTACATTGTTTAATCAGAGATGGGAAAAAACACAAGAGGATGAGGACTTTTTAGTGTGTTTATGTATAAATCGATTAGCACCATATTTATTCTGGTTAGAGTTTTTTTTAGTAAGGCTTTTTCCTACGGAATGGGATTGCCGACCCCATACCCAACCCTCCTACTTTACCCGACTTTGGGACGGACAGTAACTTTAGAAGAGCTATAGGCAGAGAACAATAGTTATAGAACAATAATAATAGTCAAATATTATGAACTCATCTTAGTTTCTAGTTTCTCCTCAGCTGCTTACAATCATATCTGTTTTTAAACATAACATAATATTAAATAATATACCACTGGTAACTGAACAATTTGGAATGGCGACGATATCCTGTATTATATATGTATAAATAAATAAACCAAAAATGTGTAAATTCATTTGAAAAGATATATTAAGAGAATATAAGAGGGAGCAGTAGTTAGCTAGAATCTGAAATTAATGAGGTGGATAGGATTATAATTGTCACTCTTCAAATAACTCACAGTTATGCTCTCAATATCCTTATTCAAATGACTTGTTTTTATATATATTTATTTATACGTATATAGTACAAGTTTTTGTTGTCATTCCAACTTGTTCATTTACCAGTCTTAATATTATATTGTATGTAGACAGATCGTTTGTAAGTAGCTGAAGAGAAACTACAAATTCAGATGAATTCACAATATTTTGCTCTAATTATAATCATAGCTTTATAAAAATTCATGAATGGAACTGATATATGTTTCACTCGATTTGTCATTTCTGATGACCATTGGTCGATATTCTATCGGTCGGTATTCACTCCACACATTACTCATTTGGTCTCACAGATCATGGGTGACTGAATATTATTCATAAAATAATTCAAAAAGTATTGGTATGTCATAAGCAGGATATCGTATATATTCAAGTGATGTTCAAGCTCGACTAGACAAAACTTATATATATTCTTTTGTATATGTAACTGAGCCCCCGAATGCCCTGGTACGACCGAGGGTGGGGAGAGTCAACTCTCCGTTTCGTAATGTTCTCACACGGCCAAGCGTATATAGCCACTGCCAGGGAAGTCCTGCTCACTGCCTTCTCGCTGCTGGAGTGTTGTTTACGATAATGAGAGGACGGAAAGCAAATGTCCGGGGCGTTAACCGAGTTAGTGGATATGAAGGATCCACAGAGGGGAGTTGGAAAACCCTGATTCCAAACTAATAGTACACATGACCTCCATGGACTTAAGGAGTCAAAAGGTGTATGAACGAATTATTGATCACCAGCTATCACGGGACTGCATCTCCTGACGTTGCTCCACTGCCTCGTGGATCAGACCTTCACGTCAAAGTCTCTGAGTGTGGTGCGGTAAGGAAACCACTTGTGTCGGTTTGGGCATCTTGGTAGTATCACTGCGCACACACGAATCAATTGACTTGTGTGGCGCATATGTATTTGGTGCCCCCTTGTACCAATATTTGTGTGTTAAAATAAAATATGTAACTATGATATATTCATGTCAAGCAGTATTTGAGTAGCGAACAATTTAAGAGACACAAATTCAGTTATCCATCTACAGAATCTCAGGTTAAAGGAAATATTTCATTTTGAACATATTTACGCAGTGATAATTATGTGTTGTGTAAGCTGTACGGGTACACGCAAAAGCTTTTAATAATTTTTTTATTTATTGCAGACTACTGAATAATAGTAAGTAAACAATGTCTAAATTGATATCTTTGTTCGCCACGCAGCAAACAAATTCTCACTACTAAACGGCATATTTACAACTAGATATTTCTCAAAATTTTCAGTGAGAGAAGTATTTTCTCTTTTTCACACATATGTTAAGCATTGATTTATGATCCATGGTGTTAACGTTAGTATGAACGCAATGATAACTGACATTTGATTTCATGCAATTAGTTCCCTTTATGAATTTAAATAAAGCAAGAACGAATATTGATGCAGAATAGTATGAATTCATATTATTTCGAGGTTTCTCGTCAGCTGCTTACAAACCAAAAAATGTGATAGAATTTTTACATTGAGATAGAGTGAAAACAAATGACATAGATGAGTGTAAATAACTGGGTTACAATAATAACTATATATATATATGCTAGAACAGGTCAGAGGTCAAAAGGAATTAATTCGGGTTATTTCCTTTTGACCTCTGACCTGTTCTAGCATATATATATATAGTTATTATTGTAACCCAGTTATTTACACTCATCTATGTCATTTGTTTTCACTCTATCTCAATGTAAAAATTCTATCACATTTTTTGGTTTGTAAGCAGCTGACGAGAAACCTCGAAATAATATGAATTCATACTATTCTGCATCAATATTTGTTCTGACATTTGATTGTAAGAACCTCGTCAAAAGTGATATACTGTTAAACAGGTTCAAAATATTTGTAGAGTGGTGGTCTAAATCAATATGATATATACTTGACAGAAAACTACATGAAGCTATAGGGTAGTCTGAGTTTGAATGTTTGTGGAAATCAAATTGATCGTTTATATACCATTTCTCTCATAAAAAAACATTAGGCATGTCTCTAGCTTGAGCTTCGCTAAGGACAAAATCTAACCTCACATGAAGTACTAATTTAAGCAGTGTGGATTATCTTGGAAACAGTTTACTAGAACTATTCAGAGACAATTTTATTCAACTTATGACCAATTTTATTTGATTTTTTTATGTGCAACAAGACATTTTAACTAATGTTGACTAATCTATTATTTTAATTCGTAGTACTAATAGTTGAAAACATCCAGATTTATGGTAAAAAATCAAAATATATTTATATTATTAACAACAACTACTACATATGTTTAATTCGTGGACCCATCGTGTAATGTCATCAGTTTTCAGTAGTATTGAAGTTTGAATTGATTTTACACATGTCAGGGCTCAGATTGGCCTACCGACTGATAGGAGATGCACGATAGAGCTAATTCATTAAATTTAGAAATGTAAACCGTTTAATTCCAAATTAATGGTTTACACTAAATAGATTTCTTATGAGGTCTGTAGGTCCTAGTTATACCTCTCTCTGGCTCGTTTATAGGGATTACTGAGGACTCTCATAATAAGATAAAACCGCTATTCATTGATTGTCTAGATAAAGTCAATTCATGATATGATCTGCAAAATTATTTCATTTTTTCGATCCAAATCTTGAAAATTGTTACAAAATCTCTGATACAGACCATTATGTTAATTTAATTAAGAAGTAAATAAAGCTTCGACAATAGATTATATGAATGATTAAAATCTATATTCTTTCTCATTGTTATTTAAATTAAATTAATTAAGAATGGGATGACTGTATACATAAATTGAATTAAGGAAAAACATGTTGAATTACAATTTATTAAAAACAACCAAACTAGTAATGAAGTGAGATATTGCGGGAGTTTACCTAAGTTTCAAGAATTAGTTGATTAAAAAACCGATGGATGATGGGATGATCTTGGTGTTCACAAAATAAGAATTGGTTTGACAAAGTTCACATAAAAAAATAAACACTAATAAAATGATGACAATAATAATAACAATGACAAGAACAAAAATAATAATTTACCGAGGTAGTGACAAGTTGGTCACTGTCTTTTTCTGGATACATAAATCAAATTTGAGTTTCCTTATCGCTACTACTTCGACAAACTGCAGAGACGCTGTTTTTTGTTGGCTAATCATTTTGGAGAATTATAGATTGTCGATGGTATGCCGAGTATCAGTTACATGCCAGGCCATCGGATTATTTAGAGCCGTTGGGCCTCTCAGTCTGAAATTCATCGAAAGGTGCTCAGAAATGTGAACATGTACTGTTTTCTCTGTTTTTTTTTCAAGGTATGTGATTCCACACGTACATGCAAAGTGGTAAATGCAATCGGATGTACTGAAAAAAGAAGACCTTTTAGTTTTTCTTTGTTTGACTGAGTAGTTTGTTTCGTATAACATATCAGCCTTGTTGATGAATAAGCAACTTACATTGTGGCATTTATCCTGTGGTTAATAATTCCACTAATTTCATCTTCTTTGAAGCGCGGACATAAGAAGCAGGTTTTCTTTTTCACTGTATTTAACATATACGTTGATTTTAGGATATTCTCCACAAATTTCGCTGCATCTGCATTTTCACGTAGGTAAGTTGTAATGAAGTCAATTTCTCTTTCTTTTTATTAAAGTTGACGAATGCAATCTAAAGAAGTTTATACAATTCCCTTTTGTAACTATTTAGACAGAAGCTGTAGTGGTTTAGATAAACTCTACCTCATTTATTTTTTAAATGAATGTGCCTTTGTAGTGTGCCGTCTGAAGGTCGCTTGATTCAAACACCAAAGCATTGGAATCTATCTTTTACTTCATGCTCTTTAGTAAAATCTAGATCATTGTGTGCTCTGTTAAACAGGTTGTGTAGGTACATAGAATCCTTCTGATTGTTATAGACAAAAAATCTGTTGTCAGTATATCTACAATGGAGTGTAGTTCCTTCGATTAAGTGTTTAAGCATCGTTTGTTCCGGGTTCCCCATAAATATATCAGCCAGAATTCGACCCAAGAGGCTATCCATGGTTACTCCATCAACTTGACCGTACAACGCATTTGTGGACTGAAATTATGTAGTTTTGGTACACATAAACAGGAGCTATTTTAATTCACTTATTGGGAGAGGAAGTAGTTCAGGATATTTCTCCCAGAGTAATTTTCGTGGAGAGATGAAACGTTAAAGGATACCATAAATTATCGTAAACATTGAAGCTATCAATCTTTTGTGTAATTTCAAAGCTATTCTTCAGATCAAGGGGCTGTAATAGATCAGTCACTTTTTGGTATATGTG